CCTTCAAGGCTGAAATATCTGCACATCTGCACTGAGCTTGCCAGAGTTCAAAAAGCATCTGGACAATGCTCTCAGTCATATGGACTGATTTTTGGGTGGTCCTGTGTGGAGCCAGGAGCTGGACTCAATGATCCTAGTGGGTCCCTTCCATCTTGAGATTTTCTGTGATTCTAAGTACAGCTGCACCTTGGGAATGCAACAGTCCAGGCTGGTAATCTAGGCAGTTTCTTCTATGCAATATTACCATGGTCTGAAGAACTCGCCCCCTGCTGACATGCCTAGTGATAAGAAACATGTTCCAACATATCTGCAACTGTACCCACTGCACAGCTTCTATGCTGTAGTATGTGTCAGAGCTTACAATTGCTTTTGTTACTGCAACATTGGTAACTGCAATTGCAGATATCTGTGCAAGTCTGATGAGCAACAGAATTAAGAACATCTCACTAGCACAAGACAGGCCTACATCAATGCCCATCAAGTACAAACATCAAGGTAACATCCCTTTCTCAGCACAGAGTATACGCCATCAGATTCACCCACCTGAGCTGCAGCTTCCTCATAGCCTGTGGTGCCATTTATCTGGCCTGCAAAGAAGAGCCGCTGAACGAGACGAGACTCGAGAGAAGCAGTCAGCTGACGGGGGTCTAAGAAGTCATACTGCACTCCATAGCCTATGACAAACAAAAAGACAGACCTTAATGGGAGGGAAATGAAAGGTCCTAACTTATCAGCAAAGGCAATCAGTGGGACAAAATGACTTAGGTTATCGACTTTTATTTACAATATAGAAACAACCAAGGAGAAATTTCTGCATTCAAGAAATAATTTTATTTCATATTTACTTTGGTTTGCTAGACTCCAAAGAAAATCTTTCTTTTTTTTCTTTGTTAAATGATAACAATGTGAAAAATAGATTTGAAATTATTTACCCCCTTACCTGGCTGTAAGATCTTGGCTTTCTCCAAGCCCGGGATAGATCTGATCACCTGCTCCTGGAGCTCAGCTGGCAGTGTCATTGACAGGCCTTGGGGGTAAATGACATCGGACTCCAAGCCTTCAGGCTCCAGCCAGACCTGATGTTCACGGTTTGGGAAGCGCAGCACCTTTGACTCAAAAGAGGGGCAGTATCTGCAACAGGAAACAGCCATAAGCATCATCTAAGGTAGATTAAAGGTAGTTTTCCAGAAGCAAAACAAGGGAGATGCACAGCTTCAGAGACTCATACCATTAAGAGCTTCATATGGTGCCACATCCTTACCGGGGGCCCTTTGTTGTTTCTCTCACGTGGTCATTCAGGTGGAGGTTATCAAGGACAATCTGCTGAGCTTTCAGGTTAGTGTGAGTCAGGTAGCATGACAGCTGGTCTTCTGGCTGAAGAAGATCAAAACTCACTGTAAATTAATCCAGTCACAATACCTTGCACTCTCACCAAATTATTCTGTTTTGAGGATCTTCAAGGGCTTTTTCATGACAGCTTGCTCTCAGTTCCTGTAGAGCTGGGTTGTGCTGTCTTACCCACTGTACAGAAAAGAAGTAATCAGAGAACCTCAGTAAAGTCCAAAAACAGACCAAGAAAAGAACAGAACTTGAGAGTGTCAGGGATCTGCATTCTACACAATGAAACGCGTTCCTCATCATAGGATGGGCATTCCTATAAAAGTAACAGACTCTATCACATTAGCAGGAGGAATTCAAAGCTCTGAAGTTTGAAGAGTTTGGTGAAGACTGAAGAAACCTCTCAACATCCTGCAACTGACATAGCAAATTCAAATTCTGGAAAGAGAAACACTATGTAGAATACTTTACTATTATTTTCTGGAAAAGAGTTGACAGATTTATGTTCAAAACAGTAATAAATGTTACACTTCAGTTCCTTAAAACCTTTCCAACAAATACGTAGGATTTAAAATGATATTACCACCTCTCTGCTTCCCATTTACAAAAGGTTATTGCAATTCCTATAAACTCTGGATCAAGCCCTGGACAACCTGATTTAGGTATGCATGTCCCTGTTTGTTGCAAGAGAGCTGGACTAGATGACCTTAAAAGGCCCCTCACAACTCTAAGGATTCTACTACTTTACAACTGCCTGAAAGGAGGTCGTAGCGACATGCAAGTTGGCCTCTTGTCCTTGGTAGCAGTCATAGGATGAGAGGTAATGGCCTCAGGTTGTGCCAGAGAGGTTCAGGTTGATTATGATGAAAAAATTCTTCTCTGACAGAGTAGTCAGGTGCTGAAACAGGCTATTCAAGGAGGTGGTGGAGTCACCATTCCCAGAGGCTTTCAGGGAAAGGGCAGACGTGGCACTTTAGGACATGGATTAGTGGGCACGGTGGTGATGGGATGATGGTTGGATTAGATGATCTTAGAGGTCCTTTCCAACCTTAATGATTCTACGATTCCCAGCCACACAAGTCCCTTACATCAACTCGCTGGCTACTCTAGCTTGCCACTCCCAGAACCACTTCCCACCTCCCCAATCCATTGCCCAGCTACCCTTGCACCTGCTACGTGCTATCCCACCTTGATCCACACAGCCTTGCTGAGGAAGCTGAAGGGAACAGGAGGGTTGTCAGGTACACGTTCCTCCAGACCACTGAAGTTGATGGTGTCTTTGGCCAGGCGGGGCGGTGTCCCAGTCTTCAGCCTGCCCACAGTAAATCCCAGTTTCTCCAGAGTCTGGGCTAGCCCCACAGCCGGCTGGTCTCCCAGGCGCCCAGCAGGATGCGTCTCCAGCCCCATGAGGATCACACCCCTCAGAAATGTCCCAGTGGTCAGGATGACACTCCCAGCACACACCGTGCTACCATCCCCTGAAACAGCATGTTCAGAGATGCACATAGTTTACTGTCGTTGAAGCCCCGGTACTCTAGTGGTTCTGTTCAAAACTGAATTGCTGCTGTCTACTCAGGGCTTACGCATCTCTTATTATTTGGCATTTCAATAGCAGCAATGTTAACAGCAATAACTATAACAAGCAGAGTGTACAGTTTCTCCTTTTTTTCCTTATTCCCCTAAGCATTTTACCCAAACAAAGAAGTTCCACTCCCAAGTAATATTCCTGACCAGGTCCTTATTTTGGAATTCCTGTTTAAAAGATCAGCAAGAGGTAACAAGGCACAAGACTGCACTGTAACAGGACACTGATGTCCAGAAATGTTATCTGCAGCATACTCTGTCTGCCAAATAAGATCTCAAACACAGCATGGAATTCAGAATCACAAGTCTGAGGAAGATTAAGCTCATGCAACCTCTGAACACCAATCAATCCAGAGATGTTTTCCATTGTGCTACAGATGTTAACACAGTTTAATTTGTAGTCAGCCTGAAGTGCCTCTGTTGGCTCAACCAGCTTTCTCACAGATGAATCAGACACATTTAACCTGCAGCTACTCTTAGCATACAGTGCCCGAGGGTGCTCACCATGGTACCCACACATACCCAGAACAACGCCGGTGACTTGGCACTTCCCAGGGTGGTTTGCTTCTGGCTCTGTCAGGAGAAGGTCTTCCACAGAGGCTTCACGGACTGTCAGCAGGGGTGTGCTCAGGATTTCCTTCTGTCAAGAAAGGAGTTACCACAAAAATCTGGAAAGTTCTGAGACATCTGGGCAGTCCCAAACCACACCAATTTCCAACACATCCAACTTCTTCTCTTGTTTTAAAACCACATTTTAGAACCGGTCATCACTCTTGGCTTTCTTTTAACCCCATCCTGCTGCTGTTATTACCCTACTGCAACACACAGATTGGTAGCTGGTGTACCCCCAAAATCGAACCCCCACATTAGCACTTTAATTTCTAAGCGGCCCTGGGGCAGCACACACTTTTGCCACCATCCCGTGCAGCGCTGCTCCACTGCTGCACACCTCAGTGCTTCTGCAGACCTCATCCTGCTCTGCACAAAGCCACATCACCGCTGGCCGCATCTCTTTTTCAAACGAGGGCTGCTCTGAAAGTAATGCCTCTTAGCTCATTATGCTGGCTCACTACGTCAGAGGCAGATGGTGGTGGTATGGTAGAGGAGGCTGAACCTTCCACCAATAATCCATTCCATGCCGCTGCTGCGTGACAGATGGCAGCAGAGGGGCAGTCTGACAACACGGCGCCTGACACGGAAGCGCGTGTGAAGGAAAGGTGTGTCACTGAATTGCTCCACGTCAATAAAACGGCACCCACTGGCATTCATCGACATCTGCTTGCACTTAAGCAGACCGAGGGGGGGATGTGGGCACAGCGGCGCGGGTGGTGCGTTTCAGCCACAGTGGGTGACTCTTATTCACTGCTAGCAAATACACAAAGCTAGCGGCGTCTTGTAGCTGAGAACCTGCTCCATCAAACAGCGTTACGGCGCTCTCCGTATCTCCTACGGTTTCCACGGCAGGAGATAGGAGGCGCTGGTTGCGGAGCGCGGCACAGGCCGCACACCCACCTGCACGCCGTCCCGGTACCGCCGCCGGTCGATCTGCGCGCGCAGCCCCCACACGGCCGGACCCTTGCTGCGGTTCAGCACTTTGTAGTGCACCCCGGCCACGTCGCAGATCCGCCCGCACAGCCCGTCCAGGGCGTCCACCTCCCGCATCAGGTGCCCCTTCCCGATGCCGCCGAAGGAGGGGTTGCACGACATCTCTCCTGCGCCGAGCACACGGGGACACCCTCAGCACCGCCGCGACGAGCGGCCGCGCCGCGCCCGGCCCCGCGCCCCCCGGCGGTACCGATGGTGCCGATCTTGTGCGTGAGCAGCAGCGTGCGGGCCCCGCCGCGAGCGGCCGCCGCCGCCGCCTCCGTCCCGGCATGGCCGCCGCCGATCACCACCACCTCGAAGCGCGGGGCCGCGCTCCCCGCGCGACGCCTCCCGGACCGCGGGGCCGCGGGCGGCGCCAGGCGGCGCCAACCGCTGCGCGCCAACATGGCGGCGGCGGGCGGCCGGAACGGGAAGCGGGAGGCGGGCGGCGGGCGGCGGTGTGGCGGGCGGGAGGCGGCGCCGCGTGGCGGCGGGGCGCCCCCTAGCGGCGGCTCGTCACGTTCTCCGGCGGGAGTTTTGGTTCCCCGAGAGCTGCGGCGCTGCCTGGAAGAGGAACTCCTCTTCCCAACAGACTGCGCTCGCTTCCGCGTGGGTGCGGGAGGCCCATGGAGGAGACGGCGGCGGGCAGAGGGCAGCGGAGGCAGAGAGCGGCCCGGCCTCGCTCCTCACGGGGCAGAGGCACCGCCGCCCGACGCGGCTCGACCGCGCGGGAAACCTCGGCCGACGAGCATCCGGCGGACGAGGCTTCCCGCGCGGTCGCGCGGCGCCGGACGGCGCAGGGCGGAGAGCCCCCGCTGCTCCGGACGCTCTCGGCGCGGAGCGGGGCGGCGGGCGCGCCGCGGCTGCGGGAGGTGCTGTCGCAGCTCAGCCTGGGCCGGCAGGACGTGTCGGAGGCGTCGGGGCTGGTGAACCGCGTCGTGACCCACCTGATCCAGGCCGTCCGAGGGAGGGACGGCTGCTTCAGCTCCATCGAGAGGCTGGGAGCCGGCAGCTACTACGAGCACGTCAAGGTGCGTGCGGGGCTGGGCGCACACGGGCCCAGGCCGGCGGACGGCGGCCGGGCAGCCTGGAGAAGGGGAGCTACGGGAAAGAACGGGACAGAGCCTATAGCAGAGGCTGGTAGCACAAGGGAAGCTGGTTTAATTAAACCTTACCTTTCAAGAGGGTAGGATTTGGGTTGAATATAAGGAAAAAAGCCTGTCACGGGGAGGGCAGTGAGGCACGGGCCCAGGCTGCCCAGGGTTGTGATGAACATCCTGTCCCTGGAGACTTCCAAGGCCAGGCCCTGGGCAACCTGCTCTAGCTGTCGGTGTCCCTGTTCGTTGCAGGGCAGTTGGACTAGATGACCTTTCAGGGTCCTTTCCAACTGCAAGGAGTCCGTGATTCCATGACTGCTCGCTGGACAGGGGACTGGTTGTGACACTGTACCCAGATGGTGGTGGTCAATGGCTGCTTGACCTCCAGCAGCTTGGAGCTGTGACCACTGGAGAAGCAGTGTCAGTAAACTGCTCTTCTGCACTTGAATGCACATCAGTCTGGTAATACAAATCCATCAGAAACAAGGTAATGTTTCACTCCAGCTGTGGGAAATACACACAGGCAGTTGTGGATAAAGCTTCAGATTTAGCTGAAAAGCTTAAAGGCATTACAACCCAAGTTGATGCTTGTGTGCTTGTCCTTTGCAGATATCTGAACCCAATGAGTTTGATATCATGCTTGTAATGCCTGTCACAAGACTGCAGCTAGATGAGTGTGACGACACTGGAGCCTATTATTATTTAACATTCAAAAGAAATCCAAAAGAGAAGTATATGAATAGGTTTCTAGACGAAGATGGAAAATTATCAGCCTTTAAAATGCTTGAAGGACTAAGACGAATTATTAAAGAGGAAGTAAAACACATTAAAAGTAAGTACTGCACAGTCAGGTTTCACTCAGGAACACTAATAATGCACCTGCATTCCACATATGCAATATGGATCTTTCCTCTCAGTTATCTCTTCATGGCAGCATAACTGGAAGTGAAACCCTATCTGCCCCTGCTATCTTGAGCACTTACTCTAAAAATCACCACAAATACACCAGAGCAGCCTAAGGAATTACATTACTTGAGTCAGATGATCCATTATCTAATGCTACTTCTTAGCTATCCATAAAATGTATCGCCTCTTAGGGTGCTCTTTTTCTCGTAAGCCTTCGACCAAGTTGTGGACAAATCCCTAATCTGAGAGCATTTTCCACAGTCATTTGACATTCTCTAGTCATTCCTGTTCATTAGAAAGCATTACCGTGCCTACAGAAGACATCTCAAATAGGCTCAAAATATTAAAAATAAATCATGCAAATGCTTCAGATCAAGAAGAGCTTTTCTTATTTTGTAGGGGGCGGCTTCAGCTGACCTCCTTACTGTTTCATTAAAAAAAAAAAGAACACACTATATTCATTTCACAAATCCTACAGGATAAAATGCTTGAGGATTCTGACCATTTACAAATTCCTATTCAGTAAATATTTTAATAACTTCCAAAAAATGTTTCTTCTGTTATGAAAAAAGATTACTTTCTTTTTCGTTGCTAGATGTGGATGTAACTGTGAAAAGGAAAAAGCCTGGAAGCCCTGCAATAACTCTACAGATCAATAAGCCTCCAGCAGAAATATCAGTGGACATCATCTTGGCTTTGGAAGTTCAGCAGAGCTGGCCTCCCAGCACACAGGACGGCCTCAACATAGAATGCTGGCTAGGAAGAAAAGTCAGGAGAGACTTCAGATATAAACCAATTTACTTAGTGGCCAAGCAAAACAAAAAAGAAAAGCTGCTAAGAGGTACTTCAAATACAGATAATAAGTTTAAGTTAAGAATTACTTTCTCTGCAACTTGATAAACGCCATAAAAAGGGTATCCAAATTCTGTTCTGTATTCTGCCTTCAAGGTACAGATCTCTGTTTTATCCTGGGTACATCCAGGTCATTGTTGAAAGCCCTCTTTAAAACACCAGCCTGGTGACAATGTTTATCCTGTGCTGAAATCTAAAGCTGATAACTGCACTACAGACAGTACAGTAACCAGCCCTAACAGCATTATTTTAAATCTGTTCCATCAGACAGATGAATATCTTTCCTGTAGTAGTGCTGTACTTAACAACAACATCCACTCCTTTGTAAAGAAAAAAATTAAAGGAGGTGTGTAAAAATACACAGAACATCCCTGAAAATAGCACTTATTATACATAAGTTTTACACTTATGTATAGCAGGAAGTAAACTATTTAAGATAGATTATTTCCTCATTGAACTTTGTTATGGCTGCAAGACGACTGTTTGTTTTTGTTTTTTTTCCCCAGAGTACTCTCACCATGCCTGCATTAGTCTGTAGAAACATCCCAGCTTGGCACTGTATGAGAAGAACTGGTAGTTTCAGCAAAAACAGTTCTGGCAATTGGGTGTATTTTTTAGTTAGCACGCTTATCTTACCAATGCCAGGTACACCACCACCACTGCTCTACTGGGCTCTCTGTCCCAGTGAAAATTAATTGCAAACAGTAATCAAACCAAAAAAGGCAGCGACAGAGTCTAATTTATGTAAGAAAGAAAAAAATGATTGTTGATGTTTTAAAAACAGGGGGCTGAGCTGCATTTATCACTGTTTTCAAGCATTCCCAGAAGAATAAAAAGAAATGCTTTACAAGAGTTAGCTGAGATAATCTCAGTCACTTGCACAGAGAAATTTAAACTGATCTTCAAGAATGGGTAAGCAGTAAGGCTTAATAACACAGAGCAGGAATTGAACGGCAGTAGAGTTCTATAGGTACCACAATTATTCCCCAAATCACATTCAACAAATTCAGGAAAGTTAAGAATTAAGCTTAATTTTAAAAACTGAACCCAAACATCCTTGAGAATATAAAGAAAGCATCCAGATAGGCCTACATAGTTATCTGTAACTATAATATTCCAATCTTGTTTGTATGGAGTGGTTGAGGAATTAAGGAACTGACTAACTTCAGTAATTGATGAATTAAGAGGTTTTTTTTTTTTTTTTTCTAGTTAGAGACACCAATATTTACTGCTGTGTAACTATTTAAGTCTTGTACTCACCCCTTTAGGAAACACCTGGCGAATCTCTTTCTCACATATCGAGAAGGCCATGCTGAACAACCATGGCAGCATAAAGACATGTTGTGAATCCGATGGAGTGAAGTGTTGTAGGTTAGTATCTCATATGAATAATTTGCCTTAAGCTAGTTTGTCCAGCACTGTTTCAGTTTAACATTTAAGAATTTGGTCAGTAATTATTTAGAATAGGGAGTGAGAATATTGAGAATATGGCTTTTAATCACTAATTCTTGCATCACTGTTCCAGAGTAGTACAAGCTTGCACGTGCCCACTGAACACATCTGATGTACATTTGCTAAAAAAGTAACAAATTACTTTGCAGATTTATGCTCCAGATTTGCCTGCCAAACAAGCAGATGCACCTTGCCAAATCATCTTTCCCCAAATTAGTCATCTTCAGAAATACTAGCTCCACAGTCTGTTGACTCAGCTTCATAAGCAAATTACACTTTGTGGCAAGGCAATTTATTAAATGATGGTGAGAAAAGAACTGAATGGGATCAGGATCAATAAATGTGATTTTTCACTCTAATAAAGATTGGTTCCACATTTCTTCGAAGAGTAAAAACAAAACCTCATCAGGTACAGAACCTACTTTACGGCAAAGGCACTTTTTGGTTTACAGAATCAGGAAAGCCACAAGGGTATTAATGCATAATTCTTAATCTTTGCTTAATGAGTAGTATGAGCTACGCTGTGTCCTTGCCTAGCCATATACTGAACTATACCTCTTCACCTCACAGAAAGGCACTGGTAGTGCCTTCAGTGTAAATCCAAGCCCAAAGTGTAGCTTCAATCTTAAGCAGTACTCCAAGTTCACGTTATACTGGTAGCACCTGCAGGAGGAGACCATAATCATGCAAGCACAGTGCTGATCAACACTTTGTATTCCTGTGCCACCATGGCCATCAGGGGAAGTGGTTCATGCACCAAAACTATTTCTCACAGTAGAAATCTTTCACTAGGCTAGTCTGCCTTCATGTACAATACTTTAGGAATATCCACCTTTTCTCTGTGCTTATTTTCAGATTTCATTCAAAACCTTACTGAAAGTGTTCTATTACAGTAAGAATATTTTAATTGCTTTACTTATAATGTGTATTTAAATATCTAAAATGCATGTTTAGAACTGACTATTAAAGGTATGCAATTATCTCTTATTTAACAGGAAAGATTGTCTCAAACTTCTGAAGTATCTTCTAGAGCGACTTAAAATGAAACATCCAAAAGAATTGGAAAAATTTTGTTCATATCATGTCAAAACTGCCTTTTTCCATTCATGCGTCGCTTGGCCAAGTGACACAGACTGGCAGCATGAAAACCTGGAACACTGTTTTCAGAAATATCTGGAATATTTTCTGCGTTGTCTGCAAGATTCTCAGCTGCCACACTTTTTTATTCCCCGATACAACTTGCTCAGCCTGGATGATAAAGCAAGCAATGACTTCCTTTCAAGACAAATAAACTATCAGTTGAACAATGGATTCCCAGTATTTCACCAGGTGTAGTAAAAAAAGTATTTACAATAACTATCTGAAAGCAAGTAAAGTAGATTTGCATATTTTAAAACATAAGTTTAGCATTTTTATATTTTTTCTTAGTAGCTTGATACTATAGAGAAACAAAACAAAACCAAGAACACTAACAGAAAATTGCGTCTTTCAGTTGTATTGCTTAGTCATGTTCCTTAAAAGAATCAGGACATTTGAATTAATATTTGATAGGAACAGTTAAAAAAAAAAAAAAAAAAAAAGAGAAAAGTTCTGACATAGAATGATGGTTAAAACAGAAGAGATGGCACCTGCCAACATAACAATTCAGCAAGAGAACCAGGAGTGAGAACTCAGCCTTCGTGATGTAGCCTAGGGACACAGACATCCCTGAAGCATGGCTGAATACCTCATAGCAGTGCCATCCTGAAGATATGATTGGTACACACATATTCAATGTATATGCTTGTGTACACCTGTGTATATATGCCTATGTGTATATAGATGTTCATGCTACATAAATGTATATATACAATATGTATATCCTACAAGAAATTGAGCTGCTCAAGTGTGTGCAGGAAAGGGCAATGAAGCTGGTGAAATAACTGGAAATCAAAATGTGAAGATCCTGTTGGTCTCTACAGCTACCTGAAAGGTAGCTGCAGTGAGGAAAACAGCCTTTTCTAAGCTGGGGGACCAGTTCAGTGCTTCCATAAATGATCTGGATACAGGACTCAAATGCCTGCTAGGCATACTGAATTAGGAGGAGCTGTTGACTTCCTTGGAGCAGAGACACCATACAGAAATTTTGGCAAATTAGAGAGCTGAGCAATCATGAACTGCATGAAATTCAACAACAGCAAGTGCAGGATTCTGCACATGTGGTGGGGTAAAGACTGGGGAACAGCAGGCTGAAAAGCAGATCCAAAGAAAGGGATCCAGGCGGGGGGGAGGAGGGGAGGGAATTGGCTGATAGGAAGTTGAATCTGTCAGCAGTGTCCTTGCAGCCAAAAGAGGCAACTGGTGCATCAGGTCTGGCATTGCCAGCCAGGAGAGGGAAGGGATGGCCTCATTGTGTGTTGGCGTGGCCTCACCTTGAGCACTGCGTGCAATCTGGGGCACCGTAACATAAAGACAGAACTATTAGAGAACATCCAAAGAGAGGCTTCAGAGACGCTGAAATGTCTGGAGAGCAAGGTGTACCAGGAGCAGCTGAGGTCCCTGGTGTTTGCTCAACCCAGAGCAGAGGAGCTGAGAGGAGGCCTGATGGCAGCTGCAGCTCCTCACAGGGAGCAGAAGGGCAGCACTGAGCTCTGCTCTCTGTGACAGTGACAGGGCCCGAGGGAATGGCATTGAGCTGTGTCAGGGGAGGGGTAGCTGGGGGTCAGGGACAGGGTCTGCACCAGAAGTGGTCAGGCCCTGGAACAGCATAGAAAAATCCAGGTCAAGAATACCTTCCCTGTGAACAGGCTCCCAAGGGAAGGCCTTTTCAACCTGGATTATTTTATGTTCTGGGTCATACTTAGGACAAACTATGGTATGTAAGTATAATGTTTTATGTCTGCTTGCTGTTATAGTCTTAGTAAGTTTGCAATCAAGAAGTATTTTCATTGTCATAATAATTATTGTTAAGATTGAGATTAATAATCCCCAAATGATTTCTGCTGCTATGTACTGATTATCCTACCTCATATTGCCTTTATACTAGTTGCTGCTATTAATGGGTATCTTTAGTGTTTGGTACATATATACACAAATTCATTTCCTGTAATAACTGTAACAGCTTTTATACATACATATTTGCCATACCAATTATAGGGTTCTTGGTAGTAGTGATTTGTGTTCTTTTGCAATAAACAGGAATTTTTAGTGAACAACCATTGTATGTCCTTGTGTACCACAGAATCCTTCAAACTCACTGTTGCAATCACTATATACTTACTGGCCAGGTAGTCCCCAAAGCTCTCCTTTTATGGATTGTGACAACATTTGTCTTTCCTGTATAAATGCAGCCATCACCTTCAAACTATCTTCAAATCATACTATGAATACTATTGCAATAATCAACTGCGCAGACATGAATTTCATGACTTCAAATTAGGGGAGGGAAAAAAAAAAGAAAAGCCATATTAACTTCCTGAATTAACTGATCTTTCCCACATCTTCAGAATTGCTTTGGAAAAAAGCCTTTTCATCGCAATTGGCAAGAGAAGTGAAAATTAACCAGCATACAAAAGTTACTGTACCAATGAACATCTGTATGGAAAGAAATGCACCTTTTCAATCCATTATCAAAGAGGATATTCTTCCTGTTAAAAGGCTATCAAAAACCAAAATGCAGCTTGACTGACATTCCCAGAATTGGAGAGTTCAGCGTATTTTTTCTTATGTTGAATGCATGTTAGGAAAGGACTGTAGCACTTCCCTGATACTAACTTTGTGAGGATGATAAATACACAGAATTTTAGAACTGCTTTGTTTTATTATTTTTATAATTATTTTTAAAAGTCCATATTTTTACCCTGCTTTATTTTTTTTTTTTTTCGAAGGCAAAATACCTACCATAGAATCATAGAACTGCTCAGGATGGAAAAGACCTTGATCATCAAGTCCAACCACAATCTAACCATATTAACCTAACTCTAACCACCCTTTGCTAAATCATGTCCCTGAGCACCACATCCAAACTGTTTTTAAACACATCCAGGGATGGTGACTCAACCACCTCCCTGGGGAGCCTATTCCAGTAACTAACAACACTTTCTGTAAAGAAGTTTTTCCTGATAGCCAACCTAAACTCACCGTGGCACAAATTAAGACCATTTCCCCTCGTCCTGTCACCTGTCACCAGTGAGAAGAGACCAACCCCACTCTCACCACAGTCACCTTTCAGATACTAGAAGAGAGCAATAAGGTCTCCCCTCAGCCTCCTTTTCCCCAGACTAAACAGCCCCAGATCATTCAGTCTCTCCTCGTAGGACATATTCTCCAAGCCCTTCAAGCCTTGTTGCCCATCTTTGGACCTGCTCCAGCACCTCCACGTCCTTTCTGTACTGAGGTGCCCAAAACTGGACACAGTACTAGAGGCAAGGCCTCACTGATGTCAAGTACAGGAGCAGGATGACTTCCCTATTCCTGCTCACCACACCATTCCTGATCCAGGCCAGGATGTCATTGGATAAAGGCTGGATTTCATCTCACTTACAAGCAAGAAAAGAAATGGGGAGGACAGAACTGTTAGAGAATAACCTTACAAAAACATTCTCATCTTACTTAGATTCAGTTTATTAGATTTTCACTTATTCATATGATACAATGAAACAAGTTCAGATCAAGTGTCATTTGTATTGTCACCTCAAATACAACGTCTAAAGATTCTAATGACCTGTAACAGCATGTGTGATAGAACCTGAAACTCATGTGTAAAATGTGAATGAACTTTATCAGAAAAAAAGCTGATGTTCAAATGTCCTTTTTTCCTAAGATGCTCTTTACAATTTTGTTAACTTTGGCTTAAGGAAGAAATGCACAGTTCAAGAGTGGTGTTATTTTTACGTAACTAAGTGATCCATGAAATACTTCTGCATGCCACTGGCAGATGTGGCACATCAGTGTGAAAGTACAGTATTTTGAAGTAACAAAAACATTTCTTATCATTCGGTAATCCAGTTCTCTGTAAGAAAAAAATTACATTCTCATATGTCAGTACTGCATATAATTTAAGAAATCTGTAATATTTGCTTTTATTCAGTATGGCTTTAGAAGTTACTCACATCACACAATAAATATCTATGACATGAACTTTCCTTATGTTAAAGCCCAAATAGTCTCAAAGCACAAAACAAAGTTTGTTTCTGTATAAAGGTAGTCACATTTTCTTTCCTAAGGCATTTTTAAAAAATACTTTTTATTTAAATGGAACAGATGCAGAAAATAATCAACTAAGAAAATAAACTTCTAAATCCAAGCCCATAGATGTTAACACTATCTATAATCACTTACTTTGTTTCAGTAATTTCAAGGGATCAGTCACTTGGATTACTTTCTCTGAGGTCTTAGTATATCCTTTTCCATTTCCTTCCTGATTTGATGTTGTTTGTATCTTTCTGCCATTGAAATAAGCTCATCGGGAACCACCTGATAAGAAAGCAGCACAAAGCCATTCTTAGTTTTAAGTAATTCTAAAAATTTTTGGACTTGGGTTTTACAAAATATGCAACATATTTGTCTGCTCCCAAACTAGAGTGCTATTTTCCATGACTTCTGCCACTATTTTTTAGATTTGCTTTAGTGTGGAGATGCACAAGAAACTTTTTTTTTTTTTAAAACATGAAAGTATACTGAAAAATAATCAGCACAATGTGCCTGGATGTTCAGCTTATCTATGTATGCCAGCATCACCATATCTGATGGCAACATGTAGCATATTAAAACACTGTATTTCATCTAAAAATGCATCTTTCAGTGATAATGAACAAATACAGGCTGCTTACACAACCTGCTGTAGCAAGTAGCTATACAGCAGGTAAAAGATGTCCAGGCAGTAATCAGTGTCCTGAGCAAAGAGCAAGCTTCTCCAACATATATGAGCATAGCATTTCTTTGACTGCTTACTGCCTCTCTGGTCTGTCACAAGCAAGCAGCACTAATTCAGTACAAGTCTGGAAGACTGCTTGAAAGTAAGGATTCAGAGATGGTCCAAGACCTGCTCCTAGTTATACTATCACATTAAAAAGAAACCAAAAACCCAAACAACTGGCTTCACCTTGTTGGTTTTTTTCCCCAGGAGATAAACAAAACCAATCAAAACCAAAGCAGAAAACCATACAGCATTAAGGACTTATTAGGTGACAAATCAGGATTAAAGCTCGTGTGAACATCCACAGTAACTACCAAACAAAGTCTTCTGGTCTTGCATAAATACAATTAAATTTGTATTCAAATCCCCCTCCTCCACATTCCCAACCTGAACTTAAGCAAAAGACTAAGTGGGCTTACACCATTGGTAACCATTAAGATTTTTTTCCTACTTGGTTTGCTCTTTGCAGAATATCAATCAGCTCAGATGCAGCCTTCCAGTCTTTCTTAGTGACAAGCGTTACTGCCTTCCCAGTACGTCTAGACAAGAAATGGAATAAATGTTGATCTTCATAACGATGGATATCTGTGCTGCTAGGTTTTCTCCACTGACTTCAACAGTAATAGATTCGATTACAGGCCGTATTTATGGGCTTTCAGATATCTGGCTAGAGCATTTATTTGGCACATGAGAAAACTTTTTGTAAAGGTCAGAGTATAGCAACTTGGCTAAACTGGAGCAAAGGCAGCTCCAGTTAGGTATATAGACAATAAAGGTAGCACAAAGACAACATATTTAAGAAGGAAGAGATGTGTTAATATCACAATTAAAATAAGCACACACACATATTTACAAGGAGAATTATCACATTTGTGTCACTGTGGGGATGCAGCACTAGAACACCTATGTCAAACTACACCACCACGACAGCCTGCAGACTCCTAAGGGTTCCTTTCCAGCCCCTCCCCTTTCTTTTCTCCAGTGAGCTTACTAGGAAACTAAACTCAGCAGCTCATGGAAACACAAACAAGGAAGGGGATTACAGAATACCTGTACAAAAGGTGTTCTGGACCTGTTCAGTCTCCCCCACACTTAAACCAGCTTTCAAACATCCTTAATTCCCAATGCTTAAACAAAACAGAAAACCAGAGACCTTGTATGCCTTAAATTTAACTGGATTTCAAAACATAAAAGAATATTTCGGCACATCTTGAAGCCTCACTCTCCCATTCTCTTATCACTTGTTGCTCTAGAATTTGACAACAGAAACACCTATAAAATGCACAAAATACTGATATTAATCAATAACATATTACCATTTTAATGTGGAAACTTACCCTGCTCTTCCAGTACGACCTACTCTGTGAACATATTCCTCAATGTTGCGAGGGAAGTCAAAGTTAAAAACATGAGTAATATCATGCACATCAAGGCCACGGGATGCTAAGTCAGTAGCTACCAGGATTCTGACTTTACCTAAATAAAGAACAACCAAAACAGAATGTGATTTTATGGAATATACAGAAAACACCCTCTACTCCATTGACCTCCCAGTGTATAATAGACCTAGCATGTATTTCTTTTGTGACAAATATCTGCACTGTCTTGCTTCCAATATTAGGTGGTACCTAAGCACCCAAAATGTCATTTTGCTATTTCACAAGAAAAAAGCAAGATGCAGGAAAACCAAGAAGCATGTCCAACAGATTTAAAAAAAAAAAAAAACCCTGAGGAAAAAAAAGCCCAGAAGCTTCAGGAACTATTTTTCACCCTGCATCCTTACCATGCCACTATTCTTATCTATCAAGTGACCACATAATCTTTAAGTATAATCCTACTGGCATCATCAAAAGGAAAATTGTTTCATTGAAAGCATCATTGTTTTATGCTTCAATTTATAGTTCTTTAGATGAACACAATATTGAATGTTCCCCTATAAATTTCAAAAGTAAAATAAGACTTAAATTATTTAACTCTTAGTCACTCAATTTTTTTTCTTTAAAAGCAATCATTTCTTGTTTTGTGTATGTTTGTCAGATTAACAGAGTAAACACAATCATGCAGAGCTCTAATCTTTTCAATTCTACGGTAACAAAGAGACAAAATGCTATAGAAAAGGTTCTGCATATGATAAGCCTTAAAAACACTGGTTTGTTTAACCCAAGTTTAGATCCAAACATACCTTTCTTGAAGTCATCTAAAGCCTGTTCTCGATCACACTGCTCTCTGTCACCATGAAGAGACTGCACTGGAACTCCTTTGACACCAAGGTCACTTGCTATGTCATCAGCTCTAACATGAAATAAAACAATAGTTGAGCAGAAAGATAACAGAACAGAAAGATAACGTGCCAGCAATATATAAATGTGTAAGACAGCACACAAGACCCTATAGATCAGGCGATACTTTTTAATAAAACAATATGGAAAGAAGCACAGAATGTCCCCAACTGTTCTTATTTCTTCACATACTTTTATTTCAAGCCCTTCTCTGTCTTATCAGAAAAGGCCTTTGATGGAAACAGTGAACCTGGAAAGCAAAGACAGGCACCTATGCATCAAGAAAGACCCAACCAGAAGCTCATAGTTAACCCTGTTAAGGCAGGGAAGATGTCACCAGCTATGATGGATGTGCCTTACACAGACAAAGAAAGACACGAAGTAGCAAAAAAAGCCTTGCTCTGTAGTTACTGCAAGGAAGAGCTTTTCCATAGACAATAAACACAGATAGTTGTAATATATAAAAGTATTCCCTTGAATTTACATTGCTAAAATACAGCACTTCCAGTTGCATTTCTTTTTTAGTACCGGATCACTCAGTTTTCTCTCCTTTTGCCTTAAACTAAATGCTTTCTTACAAAATTTATTCCTTTTTCAGCAGTAACATACCTCAGAACTGTACCTCAGACTTCACAAAAGAAGCCACAGTTCACCATTATTATTCTAGACAAAAGTCTGAAGCCCTTCTAGATATCTGTCAAATTCAAACATAACTTTCTTGAAGTAATCTAAAAGCTTACCCATGTATTAAAAGCAACAAAATTCATCAGCTGGAAGCAGGATCAGCTTCCCATACTGACTGTTCAAGAGAACTTCTAGGTAATAACTTAGACCTATTCAGAGGAAAACTCCAAAAAAACCCTCAAATGTAGCCTAGAACTTCCAAGACACACTGAAAGACACACAAACCAACCACTGATGGTTAGGAGAGAAAGAACATTTTGTCTGTAAGATCTGCTCCACCTCTGCAGCAAAAGCTTTCTTAGAATCCTTAAGGGACCCTTCATCCACACACACACACACCAAAAAATTGAATTAAAATAACATACTTGGTACAACAAAATCAGTTCCAGCTCTTCAAGAAACCAGAAGGTGTCAACCTAAACTTTTTTTTCCCCACTTCCTTGTATGAAGGAGGGAAAAAAAAAAAAGGACTTTGCATCATTCACTGGAGAGGATCAAGTATGGTAGGAATACACTGACACTCCTGCCAGTGGGTCTCATATACATCAGCTTCATACGCTAGCAAAAAGCAAAAACTGCCCAGAGAGGTTGTGGATGCCCCATCCCTGGAGGTATTCAAGGCCAGGCTGAATGGGGCCCTGTGCAGCCTGGTCTAGTATTAAATGTGGAAGTTGGTGGCCCTGCACGTGGCTGGGGGGTTGGAGATTATGATCATTGTGGTCCCTTCCAACCCAGGCCACTCTGTGTGATTCTGTGAAGTGATATTAAGGTGTCCTTAAGAATGTTACCATCTATTCTAAATATGTTAAATAGAGACTTCTCACCACCACTATCAGTATTAAAAAGAATCTGAACTCCTAGTCAAATGGTCCGCAGGAAAAATAACAAGAATTACCAGCACACTACTGACAAGAGCTGTTACATTTGTTAATTACTATCTGAACTAAGAATCTCTCTGGTTAAAAAGCAAACAAAAAAAACCCACAGATATAATACTAGGAAATAATTACATACGTAGACTTCTTTCCAACAAAAATGATGGCCTTATCTTTTGGCTTCATAGAGTCAATGAAGTTTTCCATGAAAGCTTTCTTTTCTTCTTCGTTGATAACAATAACTTTCTGTTCTACTGTATTTACTGCCTGTTAAACATTAAAAAGGATACTTAGATTTGAATAACATTTTTATTTATCCACACATAATATTACACAACTAGTAACATAACAGCACAAAACCTATTTTACAACTAGAATGTGTATCAGTTAGGATTTCAAATGACACAGATTTCTTATTTTCCAGTTGCTTTGGGAGAGTAACTAATTTTATCTTTAAGTAGCTTATTCAATCACATATTTATAGTGAATTTTTATCACTGGTTTAGAACAGAGTACAGTAGTTCAATTAAAATAAAAAATAACTGGAGTATATCTTACGACTATTCAGAGCAACCTGGAGCAACTGCAGTCTTATTTGAAAGGAGAAGCTTTTAAAAAGAAAGTTCTGCCAGCTATTCGCAATGATTAGTTCTGTCCAACTCTTTAAACACCGGTTTTGATTAAAAAAAGCTTTATTCCATTATATTTGAAGGTTACCACAAAATGGCTGAGTATACTAATTGCAAGGGAACAGCAGAAAGCTGCACCAAGGGAAGTCAAGATTGGATATTGGGAAGTGGATCTTCATCAGAGGGCGGACAGGCACTGGGACAGGCTCCCTAGAGTAGTCATCACAAGCTCACTCAGGCAGTGTTTGGACAATGCTCTCAGACATAAGTTTTGAATTTTGGGTGGTGCTCTCTGGAGCCCGGAGTTGGACTCAGTGATCTCTTCCAACTTGGAATATTCTGTGACTCTATTTAAGTGGTACAAAGGCCTAGGCTTTCTTGTGGTCTGCATCATAATCTTATAGCAAGAGCAGCAGAATTTACCAGGTAAATAGAACAGGTCTCTTTTCACATGGAAACCCTTTTCGCCTTCAGAAGTCACCTCTTCAATTGAATAAGGCTCCATAAGAAGTGAAAACATGGACAAGAGAGCTGCAATAGTTGTTATGTCAAATTGCTATTTTTTCTTGTTGATGTGTTTGCCTTTGACAAAAACACTGTTGCCAGCATAACAGAGGAAAAGTACATTTTCCCTTACTTCCATCTGAAAGTGTACCAGATGTTAAAGTTTATTCATTCCCTATGACTAAGCAAGTAAAACTTAAAAGGAAAACTCTGTAATTTAAAAGCTAAACCTACAGCAATCTTCACATCAGGATGTAGGAGATCTTGGAACCACTAACATTTCTGTAAGTTCTGTCACTGCTTAAGCAAACTACATGTATCTGCATGAACACAACAATTACATCTGTACATTAAAATCTTGAACTTCAAAAGACAGTTCTTGCGGTACCACATATTCCTGACCTAGACAAGTGACCTCCAGAAGTTTAGCATGGAGCTTCCATTCTCTTTGAGAAATAGCAGGTAAAAGACAGATTCAGATAAGGACTCGTATACAAGACAAAGAGGGGAAAAGGAACAAGAACTTGCTCAACAAAACTGAAGGCTGGAGAAACAAGGCTTCAGGCAAGACAGGAGGTGCTGTGAAGTACAATTTTCAAATAAAAGTATTTGACTCGATGCTTGTAACGTTTTCTAGTGGAAATTTAGGACTTCACAATCTTGTTACAGAAACATCAGCTTTTTATTTTTATTTTTTAAAAGTTCTTTCTAAACTTCTGCTGAAGCTTTACAAAGGATAACATGGAATTTTTTGCAAGTCCAGACTAATTTTGAAGTCATCTGCATTTATTTGCACATACTTCCAAGTAAAAGTTTCTTTGTCAAACTGCAGGTACTTCAAAACAACAACAATGCATGGAATCACAGAATGGCCTGGGGTTGAAAAGGACCTCAAAGATCATCTAGTTTCAACCCCCCTGCTGTGTGCAGGGTCGCCAACCACCAGACCAGGCTGCCCAGAGCCACATCCAGCCTGGCCTTGAATGCCTCCAGGGATGGGGCATCCACAACCTCCTTGGGCAACCTGTTCCAGTGCGTCACCACCCCCTGAGTGAAAAACTGCCTCCTAATATCTAACCTAAACCTCCCTTGTCTCAGTTTAAGACCATTCCCCCTTGTCCTATCAACAACAGAAGAACTTACTGCTAAGTCAAGAGTGCCAACATACACGATCATGGGATTTCTCAAATAGGATTTTGCTAGGCGACGAACACCATCAGGCCAAGTAGCACTAAATGGGAAGAGAAGACTGATAAGAACACAGTGCAAGATCTTCTCTAGTTTGTTAATCTCCTCACACTAATTGTTTCTACTACCTTACATGCCAGGGAAAACCTTCAGTAACAGAAGTGAGCTCTTCCAACAGTCAGAAGTCATTTGAAGAAGTTTATTAATGTAAACAGAACTCCTGCTTGCAAAGCAGCATTCCAGATTGAAGTCAGGAGTAACAGTTATGTATGAAAACAATACATTGTTTAGTAGCTCAAGAGGTTTTAATTCAAAAACTTCTAAGACTGCTCTCTTCTCTCAAACAGTAGCTCTGATTCAAAATATTCTTCACAGCATTCCCAGGTCACCCTCCTTTTTGGAAAGAATACTGTCATTTCTACAGCTCACGTAAAATAGCAGAAAAGGTGGAAAAAATGCAAACTCAAAAGATTCACCAGCACCAACTAGACACAGATAAGAATAAAATAAACCTGAAGCAATTCCCTTGTAGGCTAATAAAAGTTGTTAGTAAAATAGTATGTGTTCCATTGTTCACTTTTTCAATAACCTTAAGCATAGAGCACTACTCCATTTACATACCTTGTCATAACAGTTTGTCTGTCTGGCCGCACATCTATTAAGATCTTCATTATCTGAGGTTCAAATCCCATATCCAGCATTTTGTCAGCCTCATCTAAAACCTGCTTAGAACAAGGAGTTTGCATCTATTCTTCTGGTTTCAGCAAGACATTTCATAGCAGATCACTTTAATGGTAACTGTCTGTCTTTATCTCAGAAGCTATTTCCTAATTTATTGCAAAACTTTTTTTTTTTTTTTTTTTTTTTTTTTTTTAAACACCTCTCCAGTTTCTTTTGGGCTTTTTCATTTAGTACTACATTTGCAGACAGAACAAAAAAAATCCATAAAATCTCTGAGAACACACAGTCAATAAAAGAGTATACTTAAAGTTTTTGTTGGTTTGTTTTCTAAAACACTCGTACAACATAATGGGGGATCCTTACACAATATGCTTTCAGTGCAAAGTTTTTAGAAATGTACCAACTTAGACCCTTATATGAACTAGAAAAAAAGACAGACTGTACCTTTTGGCTCATGCTAGGACACCAACATTCTCCAAGTTCAAACTTATTTCACTGGGGGAGAGAGCAGGGGAGCTGAAAGCTTTTAGTACAACTACTGGGAATGGAATCCTCATCCTCAGTTGAGAACATATTAGACTTCCTGTTATCAATATACTCTTACTTGTTTGCTAATACCATTTCAGTTATTTTTCTTGGTAAGTAGTTCTTGCAGGCCACCTCACACACACAAAAATATATTTTTAAATGAAATTAGTTACGGGTAAATTTAATTATTCTAAAATGTATATAAAAACATAAAAGAATGAAAATATTGCTCCCATTTACCTTTTACAGCCTAGTTTATAGAATACCTATTTTTTCTAGTATATTCTTTCCCCAGTCACTTCCCAATTATTCATACAAAGTTCCAATGTTCTTACATTGGAAAAAACCCACTCAAATCACTGACAAATGAATACTGATTTATCCTGAACACAGCAAGACAGAATGCAATCTTGTTTACAATGCATATGTCATTTCAATCAAAAGGATGTATAAAACCAATTTCCCAGTGCTTCCTCAGAAATTATGGGAAAACATCAGTCTACCTGACTGGATTACTAAAAAATTGACTCAAGACTGCAACTAATTCGATGTTTCTGTCAGGCAAGATGACAAATTCCCTGATGCTTCCAAGCTCGCCTTGTGTATAACATATATTCAAATATAATTAATCATCTCTAAAAATGGGTACTTGTGGGTTGGTTTTTTAAATAAAAAAAACAAAAAAAACAACAAATATTCCCACCAAAACAGAGAAGACATAACAGTTGTAGCTATAACACACACTCTTGGGTGGATTTTCTCCATTGGAAATCCTATGCGAAACAATTGCATAATAATAACACTGCACCTGGGGAGAATTCACAAGCCTTATCAGTATCTTTAAATGCAAATCATAAATAAAGCTCTTTAATGAAGAATGTTCTACGTCCACGGTGTTAAATGTAAAAGTAAATACTCCTCTTTTATCTCTAAAATAAGGCTGCTGTGGCTCATGGTGCTACACCACCACTGGTTCTGCCAGGGAGCTCACCAACATTAGCAAGAATTGGAGCTCATTTGCTAAAGCATGGTAAGTATTCAGCACTTGGGAAATGGGGGGCAGATAAAGGAGGAAAAGCAGGCCGAACTGTCAGACTAGGCAACAAGTCAACAATTAAGTAAACACATAAATAACATAAACATACGGAAATCTTTTTTATAAAAGAAACTAATAATTGAATTAAGTATCCAGCAAAGCCAAAAGCAAGAATGAAATGAAAGCGTATGAACCCGTTAATGGCATTGGTACGGCTGTTCTACCACTGAGATGAAAAGAAGTCAGTCACCCAAACTGACAAGTACCTAAGTGGTTTATCTACTAAGAACTTGAGTCGTTAGCAACTTTTAAAAGAGGAAAAGCCAACTCAGGAAAGGCATTTCATCTACTGGTAACTGATCTTCACAAAATCGACTTTGAAACAGCAAAGATTACTAGTGTGAGATAATAATTCATCATCTTTGAAATGCTTGCTGTACTAGAAGCCTTATTTTTTTCCTCCAGGGAATATCCTATATATTCAACACAGTCACAGTAAACACAAACCATCCCCCCAGCACCAATCTCGGTGTTTCAGTTGAGATTCAGAATGTTTAAAGAAAACTAAAGTAAACCTTGAGTTCAGACTAAGTCACCATTTCCCAGCTGGTGCATTACTTTTCCATATCAGCTACTTGCCAAGTATGTTATGCTCTTCAAGTTTATGAAGTTGTTCATTTGAAGATCATTCAGTCTCCCAGGAGTAGCAATAACAATATCCACACCTTTGGTCACCACGTTTATCTGTGCTTTCCGGTCCCCACCACCATATATGCAGATACTGAAAAATAAAATGATTAACAGAAGAAGATGGTTAAGATTCAGCTGAAGTTCATCTTTCTCAAAGAGATATCACAAAGTTGCTTCATTTTAAGAAGTATAATTGTGTAATATCAAAAGGAAGGAAGACAACAGAATGGCTTAACAATGAATGATCCCCCCCCAGAAGCACAGCAACAGTTTTATGCTGAAACTGCAGTAGAAGTAATGAAAGGAAGGAAAGTTGGCTATTAAGCTACATCTGATCTGAAGACATTCACACCAAAATAAATAAATATTAAGAATGCATCATTTTCTAAGCAGTACATTCATAAGTCATGTGTTCTACTGTTAAATCAATCAGCACATCCAGTAAGATTTTAGGCTAATACATGAACTTTACAAATTCTACAAAATACGTTTGAGAAGGAAGCAGCATGTGCGACTCTGCATTTGGTAAGGCTGCTATACAAAGCTACAAGAGAATCCTACAAGTAGATCTCAGAACATAGCAATGTCTATTAAATAGTTTAAATAAACACCTGCACTCTTAGCAAAGTTGTGGATGACACCAAATTAAGGAAGCAGTTAATACACTAGAGGGCAGGGCAGTTACTTAAGAAGGACCACAAAAGGCAGGAGAAGTGGGCTGACAGCAATCTCATGCAGTTTAACAAAAGCAAAGATGGGGATGGAATAACCCCATGGCTCATGGCCCACATGCAGGAAGATAGCTTTGCAGAAAAAACTTGGGTGGGCAAAAAACCATGTTACTCAGCAGTGTAATCTCAGAGTAAAGAAAACCAGTTGTGTATTACAGAGAACACAGCCAGGAGCTTTTTAAGAGCTATGCTCCTTTATCTGGTACTTGCAAGGCCACACCTCAAGCACCACCATTTCCAGTTTTTGTATCCCCACCTCAGTTACCAGACCTGCCCAGACTGACAAAAGTCCAGCCAGCAGCTACTAGAATGGTCAAGAGGCTGGAGTGCATGAAATAAGAAGCTCGGATTTCAAAGTAACTGTTCTGTCTGAGGGTGGCAAAATTAGGGAAGATCTTACTATTGTATACATCTACCTAATAGCATGCCAAAGAGAAGACAGACAGACTCTACTCAGCTGTCCACATGAGAAGGATGTGAGGCAATGCAATTGCAACGCAGAAGACACAATCGTATAGACAAGATTTTCACCATGAGGGCAGTCAAGCAGGCCTCATGGAAACTGAGAAAATATCAACCCTTTCAGCACCCCTTTCCCCTTAACAAATGCAATTTCAGGAGATGAATTTGGTCACAAATGGTAGAAAATGCAACTTAAACAAGTGAGAAGGGAGATTACCTTTTAAATCCTTTGTATGTATACTTCAAGCACTCTGCCTCTACTTGAAGTGCCAGTTCTCGGGTAGGAGCGAGGACCAACATTCCTGGTCCTCCACGCTCGTCTTTGGGTCTGCAATAAAACATCTCAAGAATGGGAGTTTAAGAGGCTGCACAACATCTGTTACATCTGACAACAGAACACTTCTATGCTCCTCTACACTTTTACAATACACTGCTACATCCTGTCATTACAACATAAAGGAATTTGTTACAAGACTCATACATTTTCCACCAGATTTATTACCATCATTATTTTTTTTTCCCCTCACTAGAAAACCATTATTTCAGAAAAGGAAGTATCCACATCTAAACAGCTCAAATATGTGAATGGTCCTTACATTGGTTGTGAAGCCAAATGAATGAATCCAGGCATTAAGTAAGCTAATGTCTTCCCGGTACCAGTCTGTGCTATGCCAATAAGATCAATTCCTTGTAGTATGATTGGCCATGCCTGGGACTAACATAAAACAACGAATATTTAGATGTGTTTTTCTCCTAAGCTTCAGTTAAAGAGTCATCTAAATGAGAGAAGTACCTGAATTGGTGTAGGTTTCTGAAAACCAATTTTCCTTATGTTAGCCATAATATCAGGATATTGCTCAAATACATCTTCAAATTTACAAACAGGATTGGGAATGCAGCGCTTTTCACCTTCTTTTAAGTCATCACAAATTATATTGTTATTTTCTTTCCTGTAGAGAATTAAAGCCTTGTATTAGCTTTAAAATCTATCAGAAGAAGCAAAGCTAACACAGAACACTGCACCTTTTTGACATGTTTTTTTTCCTGAAATTCCTGGAACAACAACAACTAATAAAAGAAAAAAATTAGGTTATCTAATGAAATTTCTAACTATTCCCTTAACTTTCAAATAGCCCTCACTGGAGAAATGCTTCTGTAGGACTCACGGCTAGTCTATGAATTATTCTCATAGTTAATTCTTAAGAATGAAAGCTTGAAATCACACATGGATAATAACAAGGACTGCAGCGCTGTCATATCAGACTTCAGTCACACTCTATTAGAAGTTAAAGAGCTGCTACAAGTTTTTATATCCAAAGATGACTCTTGGGAATGAACTGAACTTCTTTGTTAGAACCCTATATTCTGGCTAAACCTTCCCCAAATACTTCTGGAGCAGCTTCCTTGACCTTCTAGAAAATAAAGATGAAACATGTTAGAAAAAAGATGCTTAAAAAAAGTCACAAAAGCTATATGAAAATTGAGTTTTGAGGTGTTACTACAGATCAGTATTTTATCTTTATCCCTGTCCTCTTCTGCTCAGAAGACTTAATTCTGCAAATAGTTTTACTTCAAGCTGTGGGTGGGCTAGGAAAAGAATGAGTAATTCAACTTCTCATGTTCATAGAAATACATTTTTTCAGAATCTTTTATTCTTCCCCTAAAACTAAGGCATAAGGTGAAAAACATTCCTCTGTTTGTAACAGAAGTGCTACTATTGCTCAGTGCAAGTTCTGAACCCACAAAACAATGTTCTGCTGCTCTTGACTAGCTAGAACAATAACACTGCTAAGGAAAGTGTCAACTCCCTCACCATGAAAAGGTAAAAGAGGAAAAAAACCCAAACAAACCACGCAATAAGAAAAGTAATGAAAGCTGTTTAATTCCAAAGAAAGAACCCCTAAGAAGAGCTAGGTTATCACTAGACAGTAATATTAATAGCTGTCTCAGTATTTCATCACCACCACATGGGTTTTGTTATGCTAACAGTCCCTTTTGCCAAGCACACAATTCTCTACGGAAATGATCTTACCGCCACAGTTCTACTTCTCGTGGTGACATAGATGCAGTCCTTGATGATTCTTTATAGAAGTTTTTCTCAATTGGAGGCAGGCCTTAAACAATCACAAGAAAGTGAGTCAGTAAGAAACACTGGACATGCAGGGTAAGTCTTTTAAAGCTCAAGGTGGAAATCTCAAATCCAAATAGTCTGTGCCTAGTACTAGAGAGCTACTCAAAACACAGTGGTAGGCCACAGCTGCTTGAGTAAAAGCTGAAAACTACAAAAAACACTTAAATACCTGCAAAAGAGTCATTCCCTGCCTTCCAAGCATTAAAATAATATCTGCTGATGTATCTGCTACAATATTTAATAACACTCAGATTTTTGCTATAGTCATTACAGTGCTACAAAACCACTGCGTTTTCAAAGGCTGAAGTAAAAAAAAAAAAAACCATTAATCTAGTAACTGCTGACTCACCACAGTGATTAGTGCCCTCCATGACCATTCTAAGAAATCCTGACATGCTCACTTCATGAATACCCTTAACTAATTTGGACACTGAGATTCAGTAGCCTCAAAGCAAAAATTAAGAATGGTTACACATGCAAGAGATCTATAATATAAAAGAATACCATACAATCAAAATTTTAGAACTAACCTGCCCACTTCATAGCCTCATATTTAGCTCTGTTTTCTCGAAGAGAGGCCCAGTTGATCACAGGTTTCTTTGGAGTATTCTCAGGATTGATAACATCTAAGGATTTTCCTGTGGAGTCAGTATCAAAGCTGCTGTCTGATAGATCTATTGGAAACGTAGGGGAGAAGAACCTCCCTCCCCCCAAACACAAACTTCGTTTTCTTTTTGTACAGGAAGCTCTTATGTGATTTTAAGTAGACATGAAACACTTAAAGAGAGTTCCTTCTTAGGTCTCAACCTGAAGCATTAGCAGAAAAACCTGTGCAAACACACTTCTCATAAGAAAGGAAGAATTTAAACATCTTTAGCTAGAGCAGGGACAGGTTCCAGAATGCTGCTCCTCCAGTTGTACATGTGGCTGGCTGAGCAAGGGGCTTTTGGGAAAGTTTTGAGCCAGGCAGATGCAAACAAAGCTTTATTTTCAACAGCTACAAGAGCAAGATTTACTTCTAAAGCATCCAGTGTCACCAAAATAAAGCTTCTGTGAAGTTACGCCCTTTTTGATGAGGTTAATGCTTCTCATGAAAGCGAGTTTTTATACTGGAAATATAAATGACAACACATTTGTTATTGAAAAGAATGAAACACAGGGGAAAACGACAGTTACACACATATAGGATGCATTATTTAATCCTGGCTTCTTGAAAGAAACATTCCAGACTACCTTCAGAGGCACTTCTGAAAGCCTGCACTCACAGCTACTCCATTCCTTATTCTAAATCTGGAACACTATTCTTAATTTTTTTTTCCCCTCATCAGTGCCTCAGAGCAACAACTATGGATATGGTTCTTCTCCCTCAGGACTTACTGTGCAGTTAAACAAACCAAACATCAAATGCCAGCATCTCCATGTACAATCATTACTTACACAGCCACATAATGCACTGAAGCCCAGTAAAACACAGCATGATGTGCAACACCAAACCTTCAATGTTAATGCCTTGTACCGATCACGGTAAGGGTGAATCCTTTTCATGTTTGCTTTATAGTCTACATCTGTACAAACTTATTCAATTTCAATATTGCCAAGATATTACATTAAAATCTATCCTAGAAGTGATATTTGGATTTTTAAATAAGACTGATAATGCAAGAAAGCAAACAATATAACATCTATTAAAAATGTTGGAAATGCCTGGGAAGAGGTATTCACAGAAGTCCGTTATCTGAAAGAGGGAAACCATTGTCAGCTGACAGAGGAGGATGTATAGACAGTTCCACTTTAAGATCAAGGTCAGTCATTTCACTTTGATAAAATACTAAGAACATAAAACCACTTCAAACTACCAACACAGAGAAGGATGACCTATAGCCTTTTCCCCATCCCGTAACGCTTCTTAATTTCTCCATTCTCAAATTTCTCAGACCCACCTCTAGAGTTGCTTTGTCTACAGCTTACAACTGTTTCATCAATCAGCACCTTGGCTTTGTTCTGCACAGCAACGCTGCCAAAAATCTTCACTTCCGCTTCAGAGGCTCCCTTAATAACCTGCATTCATAAAACTCCACTGAGTTTTTAATACTGCATGGTTGGGTGAACTTATACGTAAATATAAGCATACACTGCACACAATCTTTAATTTTTCTTCCAAATTTGAATTTCCCTCCTTGGGAGAGGCCCTTTAATTCCCTTCTTAAAAGGGACATGGAAAACCAGAAAAAAACCTTACAGACAAAAACCAGTAAGCTTTCCCTGCAAAGCCAGGCTGGATGGGGCTTTGAGCAACCTGGTCTAGAGGGAGGTGTCCCTGCCTATAGCAGGGGTTGGAACTACATGATCTTGAAGGTCCCTTCCAACCCAAACCATTCCATGATTCTATCACTCAAGTGATACCCAGTTCCTGAAGGACACACAGTACCTGTATCCTAGAACCCGAAGATTCCTCAAGTTCTTTTATTTTAGCTCCTCCCCGACCTGTTACAAGGAGAAATTTCTGTAACACCTGCAACACAAGCCACACTCTCACAAACTAAATCCTAACAGGGGGTGCGGCTGCCGTTACCTATCAAAACCCCGGCCAGGGCGCTGCTGATGAGGAAGCAGAGAGGCTCCCCAGCCTCCTGAGCTCTGCCTGCGGCGGCTCTCGGGTGCCGCCATCGCGCTGCCCGACCTCGACGGCTGCCAGCCACGGCGCATTCCCGTTCCTCTCCACCGACGCTCGCTGCCGCCTCCTGCCGCCACTCCGAGCCCCTTCGTTCCAGCTCGCCCTCTGTCGGCGAGCTGCTCGGCAGAGGGTTGGTCGGCGGCTGCCACAGGGGCGCGGCGGCAACCGTGGAAGATGGCGACGGCCGCGGTACCCCCGCGGCCTCGTCACCGCTCTCCTCCCAGTCGGACATCCCCGCTACGCGACGCGCGTAGCGCGCCCTGCCGCCCTATAGGCTGTGAGCGCACTGATTGGCCAGCGCCAGTGGCTCTCAGATCGGCGATTGGCTGGCTTCTCGGACGGCGCGCGGGTAGGGGAGCCTATGGCTGCTCCTGCCCGGGCTGAGTCCCCGCCCTCGCAGCGCTCAGGCGCTGTGGCTGCGCGATCATTGGGGGCGGCCTTCGTGGTTCAGGGGGTCCTTGTGTGAGCCAGCCCGGCTCGAGGGCCTGTGGGGCTGGCAGGTGCAGGTTGTGTAGGGCCGCGCTGCTGGTGGAGTCTGGCTGTGGAGCCTCTTCTGGACAACCTGTGTCAGCGTTTGGTCACTCTCACAGTAAAAAAAAAACACCAAACCAAACCAAAAAACGAACAAACAAACAAAAAACCCACAAAAACCACCAAAACTTAAAAATGTAAAAAACTCAGGATTCGTGTTCAGTATACCTGCAGAAGGAACCAGGCAAGGAAGGCCACGCTGCAGCTCCCAGCCCTCACCTCACAATGCAGCCCCAAGGGCCTGGTGCAGCAGGCAGGGCAGCTGCTGCGGGCTCCTCACATACTGCCAGCTTCCCGGCATGGGTAAATCCTGAACTGCTGCCTCCAAAACTTCAGTAAGCTCTGCTGTAAATGCTTACCAGAAACTGGGCGCATCAGGCTGTTATGTCCATATTTTACTCCTGCAAACTTCTTCATGGTATTTTGCCACAAAAAGATGTAGTTTTTTAACGTAAAGAACAGGCACAAAAAGCACACGCACACAAAGCATGAGTGGTACTTTCCAAATGATTTTTATTAACAACAATATGGATTCAACTTTGTCAAGAAGTTACAATTAACATTGTAATGTACTGGCTAATGCCCCTGAAGGGTCAGTGGTAACAGCTTTCATACGCCCTTACCCTGTTGCCAAACTGGCATTTTATCTTGCAAAGAAGTAAAAAATGCTTCCAACAGCAGGTGATGTTGGGTATGTCTGGAATTGTCCTGTGCATAGCTCAGGGTACAGCCACATCTGCATCCAGATGAAAGAACACAAAAATATTACATGCTTCCACTGACCCTGCGGGGCACAATTCTTATTTCAAAAACCAGTTTTTAGACAGTGACAGCACTTTGTGTGATGTTGTAATCCATTTGAATTAAGTCGATTAACACACTTGAAAAAAAAAAAAAAAAGTGAAGCAGAAGTATCTGGGGCAAATTCTTTTCTGACCTGTATCTCATTCAAACCTAATGATTCTGTAAATAATCCAGAAGGATTGCATGACATGTGAGTCAGGACAAAAGTTGGCCCAGAGAGGCAAGTTCATTCCTGGTATAGGTGGGTTCAGTTCCTTTAAGGTCAGCGGAACTGAGCCTGGTTATCTCAGCGAAGGCTGAACTTCACCCAGCTGGGTAGAGAATTCATTGAAGTCAGTGGAGCCATCCAAGGATGAATTTAGCCTCAGGTCTTTACATTTTTATTTTTATTTTTCATTCTTTTGCTGTTGTATTTCTTTTCCCCCTTACTCCTCTTTTCTGATTATTTTCCTTTCCTATGTGCTTTTTTAAAATGTTCCTTCTTCCCTTTTTACATCGGTACTTTGTGCGTTGTCTCTTATATAGTCAATGTGACATGGGTAAATTCAGCTAAGTATTACTTTCCTCAGGAAATAATTGGAATATTACCATTTTCACTTTAAACAGATGCCCAACAAGGTAAGTATTTGAATCTGAGCTCTCGATTCAAGAACAATTCTTACTGATTTCGGTAGAATTTTTGCTTGAGTAAGGATTGCAGGTCTCAATCCAGAAATACTACTGTACTTCAGATGTTCTACTACATCAGCAATTCAGTATGATTTGACTTACTACAGAAGAGCAGGTGAATTGCTCATCACCATACTGTAATGAGAGCAGTCACTTTACGTAGTATTAATTTGAAAATATGTAACAACCGTGGGCACTGTGAATAAAAGTGTATGATCTTTGCAATCTTGAACCCTAGGCTAAAACACTATATTCATATTTAAATAAAAAGTATAGATCATATAAGCCAGGAACAAATACAAATTCTTAAAGAAATAATAATCATCAAAACTATTCCTTTTGGTTCTCTCTTCAATCGGATACAAGAAACATACTGATCAGAAAACAGTTATTTGGATAAAGCTTAATTCCTGAAGCTTTTACTAGGTTCAGATTCTCTCTTCAGCAACCCTCTACTGGATTGCAAGTCAGAAGAAATTTTGTCCTCTGTTCCTAATCGTAAGAAATTCTTATTAGCTATCATGAGCTTGAATTTAATAAGCAGCTCAAGACAAGACTTGAAAAGCCAGACAGGTCATTCTTTTGTGATACCAATGAATGACTGTCAGTCATGACACTGTCGTTTAAAGAGAGAGTGCAGAAACAGGAAACTCCCGATGATGAAATATGAGCAAAGCTTATAAAAATCCAAACAAACAGTTCTTCCTCTCCATAATTTCATATAGTCACTACTCTTTCTATTTTCTATCAATATTATGTTTAAAAAAAATCCTATATGATAAGACTTGCAGCTACAAAAATAATAATGGTGAGCATAAAAGAAAAAAAAAATCAGGTTTTTAAACCATGATTTGAAAAGATACGATATTCTGGATTTATTATTACTTTGTAAAGACATTAACATTTTCATACATAATTTATAGAATTCATTCTTTTGTGCATAACATTGTATTAAATAAATTAACTTAAAATTAGAAGGACTCAAGCATGTCATTTAAGGCAAAAATACCAAGTTTCTGTGAGATAAATTATCAGCAAAACCCGAGGCCCTGCTTTTGGTACTGGATGTGTACAGTCAGAGCCAAAGCTAAGTCCTCCCACTGCCTCCTTCCTGGCCCAGTGGGAGGCAGTGATCGGCTCGTGCAGGCAAAGGTGGAAGATTGGAGGCCAATTCGTGATGCCTTTAGTTTTCTGTCCCGTCAAGGAGGGGAAGAGAGTTTTGTTACTGACACATGTTGCCATGTGCCTGGTGTCGTGCTCCTGAGCTGAACCTACGGGTGGGTGTATGCTTAGTCTGGCAGGAGGCTTCATATAAAAGGCAAGAAAGGCACCATAAACCACTCAGGAAAAAAGAAAGAAAAGCCTAAAAACTTGTAAGTTTTAAAATTTTGAATTGTACTTTAAACTTTCAAATATGCCTGGATGAACTGCAGACATTCAAATAAGTTAAATGAATACAAATGTGGAAAAAATCTATTTATCTTCACAAAATTACTGTTGTAAGCAGGTTTTTGTATAACCAGGCTGCACATTAAAGAAAACAGGAAAGGATGAATGTGGTAAATCATATGGCAAATCAGCGGTGAGGAAATTGTGCTTCAAGGCGTCTTTCAGGATTTAACAGCTGAAGTTTGCTCTGGCGTGAGCCGTGGAGCACAGTGTACCATCCATGGACCCCACATAATGACACAATATATACACTCTACAGTTTGCATGTACTTTCACAAAATAAGGTTATCGTGTAATATCCAGGAATACTTTTGTAAAGGAAATATGGAAGCAGAAATTACAATGGTTTCATAGTAAACAGATTAAGTCCTTCACAATACAATCTACAGCATTTAGCCATGATTAAGACTGGAGTGACATATTTGATGTACATATTAAGTTCCCAGCAGGTCTGGGCCTTGAGAAAACACTGCCCTGAGTGAGCTGGCACTGGCACCCCCATACATTCACTGTTCCTGCTGCTAGAAGGAAGCTGAGCCCAAGTCAGGTTGTCTACAAGGTTGTGGTGCAGGTAGGTATGAATTTGGGGGGAGGCAACACACAGAAACCTTGTTCAGCTGGGAAAAATGAAAGCCTGGTTAGGCTCTGCATGGGTTCTTCCAGTGGTGAAGCCTTGCTGGGGATGTGCAGATAGGCACTAACACTGCTCCTGCATCTCAGCAGAAGCAAAGCGTAGGTAGGATAAGAAAGAAGAGGATGTATCAAGCAGGAATGCTCAGTCTGATGTTGGCTTTGAATTTTAAGCCTCAGGTTTTAGGAGGAAAGAGTCTGAAGGTCCTCTACTGGAAACCTTGTAAGAAATGACTGTGGTTGGGACAAAGTTTTGAGCTATAAAAGCCAGACCAAATTCTCTATCTCCTCCTCACAATTTATTAAAAAAAAAAAAAAAAAAAAAAAAGCAAAACCAAACAAAAATCACACACAAAAATTAAAAGAACAAAACGAAACAAACAAACAAAAAAAAAAACCCAAGCAAAACAACTGCCTTCAATTTTTTTCAGTTAAGGTTGTCTTCCTACTTCCATTTCCATTTCTGGTTGCCTCCAATGGCTTTTTTGGAAATAGCACTCACTATCTGTGACTAACAGGCTGGAATTTAAAAAATATATATTTTTCTCTCTTTACCTTCCTTCTTTTATTTTCTGGGATCATTTCCCTTCCTGCCCATCTCAATCTTTATTCCTTTTTCTTCATCGATTGTGTTGTCTTTCCCTCTTCCCTGTTTTGTCATCTTTAGTTTCACTCTGTATTTCAGTCCCTCTTTTTTCCTCACTCTCCAGCCTCACAAACTACTGTCATGGCATCAGGTTGTGACCGCAATGAAGACAGTCAGATTTTCAAATGAATGAAATACTGCTTCTACAAAGAAGGCAGTGCCTGCATCTTTGCCTCACATACCGCTGCCAAAATGTTTCAGATGCACAAGACGGTTCCCCAGTGAGTCTGGAAAAAGGAGAGATTCCCTTGCATTCATAGTGCAGTCACTCAAATTATCCATTTCTGAGGCCAGCCCTGACGCTTAGAATACAAACCTTTCATAACAATAAAACATTCTCATTGCAAAGAACAATGTGATAGTAGTGGTGTGTCAGGTACTTTGCCACAACACTAAATCATCAAAAATCAGATGGATATATTAACATACTGCTTTTCAGAGTTAAAAATAATTGATTACTGATGAGCTAATGTGTGTATCTTGCAACTGGCAGCTATTTCTAATCCCGTATATCTGATTTCCTTGGTACCTTGCTAGCAGCTGTAGATAATTCTTTGTTGTAAACATAAACTATCATCTAAATCAGGACATATATATATATATATTTAATTAGTTCAGAAGCAAAGTGCTTTAAATCTTACAATTTTTACTTTCGCCCTGTGGAAACGGCACTAGGTCTAAATGCTCAAATTTTTGCTTTTTGATACATCCTGCAGCATTAGCTTTGTAGGCAATTCATTATTTAAACCTACTGTACTACACGAAAGGCTGCCATACTGTAGGTATAAATCTGAATTTTAGCCATCACTTGAACATGCATTTTCATGCAACTAGAAGATATGGGCTCATTCAACTGCTTTTCAGATTCATCCTGTTTTTGTGATTTTATCTCATTAAAAAGGCTTTCAAAATAGTTCATGCTATGATATGTATGACTAGAGGAATGACTCAGCCAATGAAGAAAGCCTACAAGCTGTTATTTAAGTTTGACATGGAGCAGACTGAGTGCTTCTGTACCGTCCCCTGGCTTGCAAATGCTTTGAGATGATCTTGATATTCCAGTCCTTAGAGAGTCAGTGGAGAGAGTTGTTTCCACTAGTGGGCGAGAGATGGCTTCAGTAGTCTCTGTTCCTGCCTCTGTCTCCAACTCTTCATCAGTTATAAATAATTTTGACTCCCTCCATTTGGAGTATACATCTTGGCTACCTCTTGAACCACTGGAGTCACTGCCAGTAATCTGTACATTCAGTTCTTCTGTTGATTGTATAAGGTTTTGTATAGATAAAGATTTTCCTAAATCCATTTGCACCACAGGTTTAACTGAGAGCAAAGGTTCCCCTTCTGTATCCAGTCCTTTTCTCCATGTGAGATCCTTGGTTGCGCTGGGCTGAGCGACTTGTCCGTTATCCTTTGATGCAACAAGGCAAGCGGTGACATCAGAAATATTTTCCTGTGTGGTTACAGGAATAATATGAACGGGCTCAGGCCTACTGATATGCTTCACTGATGAGAAAGGTGGTATTTGCAGCGTTGTTGGAGTTGCTGGCTTAGTTGCCTGGTTTATTTGGTTTGATGTGTTGTTAACTGTTGCGTGTCCATCGTTTGGCACTTGCGTTGCTTGACTATGCATAGCTGGACTAATAGCATAGTAAGCCTGAGTGCTAAATTCATTTGGTGTCAGTATTAGCTGTAGGCCACGAGGCAGATTGGCACTAGCTGATCTGGATACACATCCACTAATTTGTGCAGAGTTAGACAAATCTTTGCTATCGGATGGACTTTGATAATCAGAAGTCTGCTCACATTCGAAAGGTGGCATCTGAAATGAAGCCAAAGTGAGTGCTGATGCAGATCCTTTTCGTAAAACTTGTTGATAAATATCTAACAGGCAGTCCAGTTTTGACTCAATGGATTGTACCTACAGGAGAAGAGGAAAAGCTTAAGATTAATGCAAAATATCATTTTGAAATGTTTGGAACCCAAGCAGAAGGAAAATTAAACTGCTGAAGAGAAAAATGTTAGGAGCTTGATACAAGCTATTGACTCATGAAAAATAATGTCAAAAGCCTTCTAGCTACAAGTTTTTCATAAGCAAGCTGATAAAAAGGGGAAAAATCATTAACTTGCAATTTTTTCATTCTTATTTTTCTGTACATGGAACACAGTTGAAGTAATATGATTCATATATCTTTTATGTCATTGTATATAGGAAGCAGATATCAGAGAAAGCTAGTTTGCATTTGAAACTGGTAATAAAATACACAAAAGTCAAGAGCAACAGAACAAGACAAAACCACAGTCGCAGACAATCACTTACCTGTTTCTCCACCTTGACTACACGCCCTAACATACTGAGGTCATCAGTTGTCTCATTCTCTGCTGTATTCTTTTCTCTACTTCTTTTATCTGCAGTGATTTGTCCTTTCCCAAGAATTTGGTCAACACTGTAAGAGAAATTAAAAGCTGCTGTGATTCCTGAAAATGGTGCAATGTGGAAGTGTTTGCTCTATCCAGACACTGAGTATTAAAATGACAGTGCTTCAGAAAAGCACCGGAGAAAGAAACTAAACTCAATTGCATTAGAAAATAATGGAAAAAATGAGAGATTTTGGAGCATTTTGACATAATCTTGAAGATGGCTTTTCTTTTATATCGGCACTAACTGGGAGTTAGAAAGTAGCCATCAACTGAGAGAGCTGGAGCTGGAATTGCTGGGGTACACACAGTGCAACAGTCATTTTATTACTGCTGGGAACTGAGAACGTGATTTCTCTGATCCTGTGCTTTAGATGTAGTCCCCAGTTTCTTTAATGTGAAAAGAGAATGTCTGGGGAGAAGGGAAGTTAGCAATGTTGACTTAATCCTTCTGACAGCATACGTTCCTTGTTTATGAATGGACTTTTCAGAGAAAGGATAACCTTTTCTATCGTTCAGGCTTTCATTTTCTGGGGGAAAATTAGATACATGCACTTTTGTGTATTTTCACACACAATTTAGTTTCTGTCTCGGCTGTATTCTGAACACAGTTGCGCTGTATCATGGATGGGCAATTTGTACCCAAATATAACACAGAAATGTTAAATGTTATCAATATTCATTATACAGCAAATGATACAACAAGATGCTTAATTCAGAGCAGAAATTGCTGTTTTCCTACCGTGACTGAAGACTCTTGATCCTGCACAACATGTCTAGATGACCCGCTGAATACTGTTCAATGACATCTTTGACATCATATGGACGAAGTGTTTCCTTAAACTTTCTCTTTGCAACATGAAATTTCATAATTCTGGGGAAGAGGCATTTCACAGATTAATTTTCAAAGTGGTTACAAAGCAATGCAATATTTTCTACTGTCACAATATTGTCAGATAATTTCTTTTAAGATATTCTCAGTACAGCTTTACAGTTTTCTGTGATACTTTTGTGGAAATGGGATGCCCACTGAGTAGCTGAGTAGTGAAAAGCTTGATTATTATATCACAAATTTGAAAGAGTAGAAATGACAAATTTGGAAAGCGAATGACAGTGAGTTGATGACAGTGTTTATTATGATGTGCATTTAGTAACTGTAAGAAGACGATAAAAAAACAATAAAAAAAAAAAACCAAACAACATCCTGTAGTAGTGTTTTAGTGGAATGTCAGGAAAATCCTACTTTGTATGGTTAGGAGAGACATTATGATACGTGGAGTCAGATTGTCGGTTTACAGTGATCCTCTACTCATTTCAGTATTATACACAAATGTGCTTCCAAATAATATCAGCCTTTTCTGACAGCACTCAGGTTGTTATTTCCCATTCTGGTAACTGCCAGTTAAAATGAGATTGCTTGCCACTAACACAAAGCTTGAAATATGATTCTGATTTCAGAAATTAAAATGGAAAAGGCCTGTTAAGAGTAGTCCATCACCTTGACAGTTCAGGACTGATCTCCACAAAGTTTTAAATATATCAGATGATGATGCACTTTCCTTTTTCCCATTGTGAGACAGTTTTACAGACTAATAGATTTTGGTGTCTTTTGTCATCTGGAAGTCTCTGAAGGTGGGATGTGGATTTTTTTTTTCCTTTTAGCTGTCAGATGATGGCAGGGTGCTCTGTTCATAACAGTCTGGCAGCACAATCTCCTGCAATCTAGTTCTTTACTCAGGTTACAAAGAATAAATGATGTAGTTGACATGCAAGAAAGTATTGTTCTTTTGTTATTATTCTCTCAGTTTAGATGGTCACCATTTTTTACCTCATACTGTTGATAAAAGTGAAAAATACAAAATTCTTAGAAAAGCAAAGTTGGTGAATTAATGGAATAAGTGAAGAAAATGTAATATACCAGAACTGTGTGATTTTACCAGGAAAGAGGCAGAAGACTATTTTTTGTTAACAACCATAGAATCTTAACCAATGTGCACAAAAACCTTCATCACCACTTTGCAGGCTTCTAGTATCTTTTTGGTTATCATAATGTTCAGAAATCAAACACAGCCCCCAAAGCAGCACGGTAAGCTGTAACTGTGCTGCTTCTGGTTTAGGTATTAGCTCATATGATGCCATCTAAATTAACTTCAGCAGGATTTGGAACAGACCCTCATTGCTTATTTCTTTTTACTTCAAATACATACAATTTTACATAAACTGTGAAAAAAAAAAAAAAAAAAGCTTATAAAAAGCTGGCACTTTAAAAGCCTGTGAGTTAATTAAGAATTAAGAAACATAAAACACGAACTCCTTCAGCAATGGAGCCTAGCAACTGCTCTGTGGTTATTAAATTCAGTTGATTCTCCATAGTTATTTACTCTCAACTTACAAAGCTCAAATGTCTTTCAGTATCTAGAAATAACTATCTAATTGAGCTTGATAGCTTTGAACACCCATTTGGAAAAAATATTACAACTATACAGAGTGTATTCAAAAATAGCAGTTGAATTGAGAATAAGAAGCTTTTGAGCTTCCTTCATTTGTGCTTCTGGAAAAGAAAAAGGGGCCTACTCTGTGTTAAAAATGAAGGTGGGCAACACACCTGTACAAATAAAAGAGAATATGAGCAAAAATTTCTCATATTCTCTAGCCTACCAACAGTAGGGACTGTCAGTGGTGTGTCTTTTCTGGCTACACCACACGGGGGCAAAAAAGACTCGTCAGAAACGAATCGAGTCGCCATTGGCAATCCCTAACTGTTAGCACGGACATAGCAGCAGTAATTTAAAGTAAAAATTAACCCAGAAGAACAAAACTGTGCACGTCTCACCGTTTTTTAAAACGTTGTTTCTATTTTTAAATCACTGTATGCCGTGGTGGAATGTGTTGTTTTTGTAACTCAAATATAATGTGACAGAAGACATGCTGTTCTATAAACCTGTCACAGTCATCAGTACCACTGTTTTTCTGGTGAGAAATTGTAGCCTTTTTCAACGATGCATCCAGAGAACAGAAAAAAACAACAACCATTCTTTTGTGTTGAATTAGACCAGCATGTCCTGTTAATTGTTAGAATACCAATTTTTGCCTGACCTTCACGATCGGCACTGATAGAGAATTACAGTGTTTCCTGAATTTTATTTTCACGTCACCCCTTACGTCATTGAAAAGTATTATGCTTACCATTAATGCACTGAGACTGGCACCAAGTCATAACATCTCTAACCATCCCTGCAGCCCTGTCATATGCATGCTGTTTTTTGAGCCTATATCGTGTCAGTTTTGCCACCATCTCAGGAAGAAATGGAGCATCATTGCACTGGGATTGCAGGCAAACTTATACACGGGTCCTGCCACAGAGATTAAATTTGGGTTGGTCATTCTGCCCATGGCTGTATGAAATACCCACAGTTTGTTTGCTCACTTTCTATATCAGGAAAACAGGTACACACAGATATAGCTGCGCCAATTCCTGCATCCCACTATTCTTAGCTTGCTAGATAACTCTAAATTGCAACATGCAGGAGATATCTGGATCCAATACAGAGAAGATAAAATAGACACAGATGGTGAAGAGTTAGATTCACTCTATGTAGAGTATCTGGGTCAATACCATCTCCTCTTTGGAGCCTTAACTTCTACAAACCAATTGCCTAGAAGCCAAAGACATTGCTTTCTCCCAAGCTCAATGCTGTGGTACTCAAAGACTCATCAAAGACCCTTGCTGAAACCCTGAAACACATTGTGCAGAAAATATACAAGCCATTGGGATTGAAAAGAAGCAGAGGATTCTGAAACAACACAATGAAACAAATTTGCAAGGACTTTTTGTAGAGGTAGCAGAAACATTTCCAAGACTCAAGATAAATGGAAAATCATATTTTCCTTCTTCGACTATTAAATATGTATGACTACTCAGCTGCACAGCTTATCAGCTCAGGAATTCTCATGTTTCGTTATATTTAGCTAAATTTATTACTATTTCCTACTAACAACAAATTAAAATACATCTGTGCAATCACTAGAGTTAGAGAGAAAAGACCTCTTAGGTCAACAAGTTCCTCTTCCTGCCTTTGCAGTTATTCCCTACTGCTTATTTTTTTATTCTTTCTAGTTTTGTGTTTCATAAATAATACAATAATTTCAGCATTTCTGTTGTTCTGCATTACAGATCTTAGTGCCTTATGCTATGAAAAATGATCAGAGATTTTACCATATATGGAAACAAATTAGTCTTAGTCTCTCTTCTATACTTGTGAACTAATTGTGAACTAACAGTGAGAGCTGAGTCTCCAACAGCTCTGACTGCAGGATATGAACAGCTTTTTGTTCACAGCAAGGCTACAGCCAGTTGATTAGTGCAACAAAACCTGCTGACACAGAAGCTAGCTAGCAAGAACTGCTTTTGTGCACTGCTCTTGGAGGCCAGCTTCCATCTGCAGGGAGCAGGACTCTTGCTGGCCTGGAGTTAGATGCATCTCTCCACACTACTCATCTAATAAACATTTGCAAATGCACAGAGCAGTTTTTCTTTACTTTTCCTACTCTCAGGTTGGAGGCAAACAGAGAGTTTGGAGTAAAGGGGATGGAAGGTGTGGCACAAAATCTGGACTGGGGAAGGCTCAGCTGGGGAGCTTTGAAAGGAGGTGGGCAGCTTGAATGGTTATGGGCAGGTCTGTGCAGTGGGCCTTCAGTGGGACTGCCTGGGAGACCTGTTTTCTGAAGGTGATGTAGCTGGAATGGATTCTACTGCGTGCTGTTGAGGTCTTTTGTATCCTACTGATTGAAGCTATTCAAGTACCTTCTGTCCTCATCTGCTCCTGTATACTAGCATGAAAGGAAAGCTCCCCTGTTCCTTTGCAATTCAAAGCCGATGCTAAAAACAAACTTCAAAATGAGGGACAAAGTTTCCATATGGACAGATGCTATCATCTTGAAATTCTACAGTTACTATGTAGTGTCTCAGATCCTTCTTCAGATGTTTGCATAGATCCCAGTGTGGTCAGGTAACAGACACTCTGAATAATAAGAAAGAGGAGTATCAGCTATCTGACAAACTGAATTATCAGTCTCTTGAATTTGGGAGGTTAAGGTACAGCATTTAACAAAAGTCTGAAGAATATTGCTTATTATGCTTTAAATATCTCAAATAAAGATGTGTTACTGAAGAAAGATGTGATATACTAATATTTGCAGGGAGAAATGGGACAGATTCTTGGCTGATTGATAGCAAGTGGAAATGCAAAATTCTTCTCAACCTCATTGGTGAAATGAGTTGTTCTTTAGTAAGCTGAGTACACAAAGTTGGAGATAATCTAAGTTTACTTTTATTGGTTGAATAGTGCATGTCTGAAACGAGATTGTAGCATCTTTGATATTTTTTGAAAATTTCTTTAGATGACCCTGTGGAGGAATTTGCCAGCGATGACCTTTGAATTCAGCGCCTTTCATTAGAGCTGATAACTACCAAGAGAATGAACAATCTGCTCTGCGTGTCCCTGCCTGAGCAGAACTTGAACCAGGTGGACCCAGAGGTCCCTGCCAACCTCAGTTATTCTGAGATTCTATGAAAAAATGCAGGTGATGCACTGAAAACAATTCAGTGGTGCCCCTGAAAACAAGCCCCAGTAATTCAGCTAGTTCTAAAATATCAAGTCTTAAGAACTTTGGACAATATTAAGAATGAGATGGCCATTAGTATCACTTGCCAGTACAGTGGCAAGGCGCACTTGGAGCCAGGATTCAACCAGTCTGTTTAAGATGCAACATCCCAGACAAGCATCTTTGGCACCAGAGCCAAAATATATGCTGACTGTTCTTAATTTGAGCCTTTTCCATTCAGAGGAACAGGTCTGCCTTGTAGCTGAATGTCCACAGTATATAAGGATTTTTGTCAACTGCTGAAGCACTGTTGACAAAAGATGGTTCACAGCAGTGACATTTAAGTAGCCCGTTGCAGTGGCTGTGGGCATGGAACTGGTATCTGACACGTTCTGTGAGGTCATTTCCAGGCAGATTGGAAAGATGGTAGGAACAGACATCTGCAAGTGATCTGCCAAGCTGCCTTGGCTTGCAGAAGAGAATTAGAAACTGCCTGACTAGTTATCTGTCTACATTGGCAATCAGTGGAAAAAGGGGAAGGAAATACAAGCAGCTTGTGCAGGTTCCCATCGTATAAATTATTTGATAAAGAGCTTGAGTTCATTCTTCTAGCACTGAGAGAACTAAGGTGAGAATCCCCCTTTAAGAAAACAACACCTTTCCACTGTTTCTTTGCAGAAACCCCCTGTGGCTGGTGCCTGCCTCCTGGAGAAGTGTCCAAGTGTGATACAGGGCCCAGGGGGCAACCCCCAGACATAGCACCAGGTTTGCTGCAGGCAGACAGGGGATGACAGAGTCCTCTTTGCTTATCAGTTTACTCTTTATGGTGGCAGGTTTGCCCTGTCAGGAATTTCACTTCAAATATTCAGTACAAGAGTTTTGGCAGTCTCAGGAGGGTGAATACTAAATTTAAACATTCAATACTGGTAATTTTATAAGTTTCAATGTAGTTTTCAACTTCCTTGGAAAAGAAGGTAACTATTAGTTTTAAATCACTGGGGTAATATTTACTTCAATGGCAAGCAAGGTTTTGCACAATTGAATGGATGTCATTATCCTGCTGGTACCAGAAGAAAGTTGCAGTAAAAGCCAGATGACAGTTTCAGGAATATGGAAATGCAATAAAAATGTAAACCTTTGAAGGAAGTAACTTTTCCAAGCAAGGTGATATACATTCAGTAAAGCTACATCAAAATTAAATACAGCAATTTCGATTACGGGAAATATACTAGAAACCAGCACTCATTATTCTCTTTTTTTTCTTAGCCAAATCACACGCTACTTTTGGAAACTGAAAAGCTGACAGTGGAAGAGAAACGACGAAGATAAAGGATGAGTAAACCATATCAGCATTAGTTACGTGACAGATGTAGTTGTGTAATAAATTCAACTAATTGACACGCAATTATTTAGTGCCTTAATTACAGAAATCTGAAATATTTATTCACTCGGTATTTTTTACTCACCTGATTGCTCTGATGACAGTTTTAAGAGCAGGAGTGAGATCTTCTACTGACACATCACACTGGCACCCTTTATCATCATAAACATCATCTGTTCCAAGACTGGTGTCAGCTACAAAATACAAGAGCAGACCAAACAATAAGCATTTAAAAATGCCTTCCTTAGTGTTGTTTTCTAGCTGCCTGCACAGTCATACTGGAAAAATAGGTACTACAAATCAAGTATTAAAAAGCTTCATCAGTGTATGAATTGTATAATATATTTGTCTGCGTTTAGGCTTGTGTTGTAAAAGGACCGAGATGTCCCTAGTGAAAATGATAAAAGTTAGAAGGGAAGAAAGCCGTGCTATTTTTCATACAAATGAATAGTGAGTCGGATTCTGATGTCTCAGTGTTTTTCATCACATTCTCCATCTTAAGGGAAAGTGAGTGAGATATAAATCAAAGAAGCAGAAAACACTAAAGTTATATTAAATTGTTATTTTTTTTACCGCCATGAATGAACTTTTAAGACAAAGGAGAAGATCCATTTCATTTATTAAGAAAGCTATGCAATGATGCAATACTTAGTTACAGGTAAAAAATAAACAAAATATCTTTTTGCCAGAAATGAATAGAGAATGATACTCATCATAGATTAACTGCCCCCTTAAATTTCACAGACGTGTAGATTCTGCAGTACTCTTTTGCAACAGGCACTCAAGTTAATATATTTGTTTGCCTGAACAAAATAGATCCTCTGTTCTTTCCAAACATTGCCCCTGCAGGGTTACCATTTGTGAATCAATTAGAAATCTCAGAAGGGCTCATTGTATCTCAGTTCTCAAGAAAAAAAGGGAAGGATGCACAACCAAGATGATTTACAAACTCCAAATGCACAGGAATGGGAATGGGGGAAGGAAGGCAGGATGCCCATGTCATCCACATATTGAAAGATAGAGGAAACCTATCTTGAGGGTAGGTGTTTTTTCTCCCAAACAGTCTCTCATCTGCGTAAAGTCCAAGTGTCCAGGAAAAATATCAGAAGGTAAGTGCATTTTAACACCTCAATGTCTCTATTTCATAAAGAAGAGAATGAAAAATGAAGAAATAACGTATGAAATAGAGAAAAAAAGGATGGAATTAATTATTCCTTAATAACAAAGGAGATTTCTTTACAGTCTTATGTCCCTACCCATATTCATGCAATTATTTAAAACATAGGCTCAGTCACTCAGAAACACTGCAAGTTAGACATTTCAGATGTCTTCACTGTAATCAATTTTGATCCACAGACAGAAACATCTGAGGACATTTTTGCAAGTTCCCTTTTCACAAAGATTGCAAATTAAAGATGAAAAATATTCTTCATCATGCTGAAATGCACAGAAATATCATGTCATCATTTAAATCTAATCAGAATACTATCTTAAAATAAACAGCATTGTACTAGGCTGCATTTTCTGGATCGGGTATTGATGCATTGTCTTTTCAGATTTAATATTTGGCCATAATAATTTATTTTGATGAGATATGACCTTAGAAGTTATGCGCTAAAATATTAAAAGAGTCCTTAAAATGTAAAGGTCATTAGTTCTAAGAACATTTTTGGACAGAAGCTGAAAAATAAGTTTGTGGTATTTTTTAATTCCTCATAAGACCTTAACCTTATGTTGCGGTAGTTTTGTGGCTGGCGCTGTTCTGACAGGAAATGATAGCAAAGATCACTTTTATGTTTTCTGGGATTCATGAACTAAAACCACCCCTGACAAAACTTAAGAGAATCCAGGGGACAGTTTTTAGTACTGAACAGAAAGTGGGGTATACAAAAGAAGTGACTTGGCTAAGGCCATCTATCTGTGGCAAAGCAGAGCTTACTACGCCTTGTTCATTAGTCTCTAGAATATATTTTCTTTTTTAACTGTTGCTGAACTGTTATATCCATGATGGACATCTACCATAATTGTGAAGAACAAAAAATTTATCTTTGACAGATCAACTTAACACAATAGAGATGGCTTATAGCCAAGACAATACGGTCTTCAATTACATGCACTGAATAATCAAATGGAACCTTAAAAAAATTCAGTTTTACATCATAAAAATGAAGTTTTCATACACAACTGGTATCTTCCCTTCCTTGCTATTGTTGCAAGCCAAGCCTTCAGTGATGGTAAGAGTGCTTTTTACTGGCACTCCTTCACAAGCTTTACTACAGACTTTGCATATCTTACAGATAAAATACATATGTCTCTCCACTGCTCCTGCCTAACTAATATTTAGATTTCTGTCCAAAAACTATAGTTAGCTAAAATAAATTATGTAATTAGGTTTTTGGGTATACACATTATTTAAAACTAAATCCCAGAGATGCTGAGTATACCATGACACTATGGTATACTCTTTCTAGGTGTTATGTCTGATTAGCCTCTCCAGTCCCCCCAGTGCTGAAATCTCCCAGCTCATTCCTAAATTCCATACCAAAAGTTGAGTTCTGTACATTACTGGTATTTCCAGTGGCTGTCTAGGGTTGTAAACAAAATCAGTTATTCTGGTGTAAATTAGGGATAATTTTGCTAAGGTCAGAAGAGCTACATCCACATAATCCCTGTGAAACAGGAGACTCCAACTTGAAAGTTTAAAATAAACATGTTTCTATATGATTATCTCACTGATACAGTTTCTGGGTCCTCTGCCAAGTGCAGTGTCATTAATAAAAGGTCCTCCTTAATGCAGCATATCTTTGCAGAACTGTTCTGAGAACAGTATGGTGCAATTAGAGTTTCATGTTGCTCTCATTGGGATACAAAATCAGCAAAATCTTTAAACAGATGCTGGAAAATTCTTATAAATTTAAACCAGCTTTAAGAAGAGATACTGCTCCTAATAAATCACCTTCTTATATTTTTTTGCTTTCTAATATTCCCACTGACATGAATTTCCTCCATTATAGCAGGCACTCAGTACTACACGTCAATAAAACTTGAGAAAAGCTATAAACCTTGTTTGATTCATATGGGAAACATTCATGTTTCTTTTTAATACTAAGCAGACTTGGGAAAAGGTTTGAGAAATACATAGTAAGAATTTGGAGAAAAAAAATCCAGCTTAAAAAGCCACTGAACTCGAAGTTCACATTCTGATGAATTTTTCCAGTGGAAGCTCATGTTGTGTACGGCATAGTTATGAGGTGAGATGTTCTTGTATCACTTCTGTCCCTCTCAAGTTCATCCCTGAGGTCGGGGTTGTGCTGGGGCCAGCTTGGCCCCTGCAATGGCTCCAGCTGTTAAAATCACTGCCAGTTCCCAGACAGGATTAAGCTCTGGCCTCTGACAAGCCCTGCTCTGTGCTGCCTCCTGCCTCAGAGAGGTTCCTACCCACCAGCAGGAGGGCAGGCAGGCCCTCCAGTGCCAGCTCATACTTAGCCCTGCACGACTGCTCCTTCTTCCACCTCTGTACTCCTTAGCCATGTCTCCTGCTCCCCATTGGGATCCATGCATGGTCCAGGCCTCCCTAGGATTAGCAACAGTCTGGCTTTTTCTCCAGGAGCCTCTGCCACTAGCTGAACAGGCCTTCCAATGTCCTATCACCTCTCAGTACAGCATTTAGACGTACTCCTGGAATTCCCTTTAGAAGGGTTGTCACCACTTAGAAACAATTCCTCTTTTCTAATACCAGCATCTTTACAGTTTAAGATGTCTTTTGATCCTAAGCTTCAGTCTGTGTAAGTATTTAAACTGGTATTTGTTTCACAACTCATTGGCCAGCTGCAAGTATCTTACAATCTTTGATGTTATTTACTTTGGGTCAAGACAAGGCTGTCTTGTCTTTGCCTCTTATTAATTTCTTCCTTTCTTCCTTAACAGCAGTCTTTGAATTAACATACATCAAGTAAGCAATTACCAACAAATAGAAAGAAGCATTAAAGTCATTAAAATTACATGCATATTTCCCAGTTTGTCACAGTGTTTATGCATTCCTCTTGCAAACTCTTCAGTTATGATCACCCCAAATGAACAGAATGAAGATTACACTGTTCTGTAACCTTGTATGTCACTAACAAAAAAATTATCAGTATGTAGCTGCATTTCCTATGACTCTGCAGAAGTTATGTGCAAAATTTGATTTATTATTTCCGTACGTATCATGCATCCTTTCATCATAATTGGGAAAACTGTACCATTTCTCTGATCTCCCTCATAGCTTCATGATCTCAATGTCAGTAATATTTGAGCAATTATGTTGAACAGAACAGAAAATATTTTCTACCCCTGTCTTTGTTTTCTTGAACTGTTATATGCTAACATCAACAGTCCAACACTAATAAGTGCCTGTGCAGACACCATGAATAGCCCTATGGTAACGCTCCTAACACTTTAGTATTGATCCCAACGTAGACCCTTTCATTAATTTTTTCAAAGCCTACAGATGTGCTTCAGCCTTCCTGTGAATCTGCAAGAGATAGCTTGAACTGTTTGTATGGGTGATCTAAGTCATTTTGTTGAGGTTAAGTACTCACCTCTCAGCCTAGGCAAAATATGAATAGGTGCCCAAAGTTGACAGCCTGCAGATGACCCTCAATTATTCATGTTACAACACAGTCTTACTTCAACTTGTTAAAAAAAACCAACACAACTGATTTGAAAAAAAAATCTGAATGATTTCCATTTTCCTGCATGACTTCAAGTGAAAAATAGCTGGTGGCCTAATTTTCACAGATGCTTAGTTACAGCAAACCATACTTGCCCAGAGAAGTTGTGGATGCCCCGTCCCTGGAGGTGTTCAAGGCCAGGTTGGATGGGGCCCTGGGCAGCCTGGTCTAGTATTAAATGTGGAGGTTGGCGGCCCTGCTTGTGGCAGGGGGTTGGAGCTTCATGATTCTTGAGGTCCCTTCCAACCCTGGCAACTCTGTGATTCTGTGAACTGAAGTTCAAACAGTCCATAATCATTGAGGTTGGAAGGGACATCTGGAGGTACAAGCCCCTTGTTAAAGCCTCGAATGCCCATAAGGGAAGGGCATTTCACTTCACTTTGCACTGCCTTTGAAGTACCATTCTGTACCTGCAGTACTTGCTGTGAAAAAGTTAGGTTTTTAGCCCTTATTCTCTAAAATATTGTTATATCCTCAATTTT